CTTGCCGCAGCGGGGGAGCCTCGTGTACTACTTCCCTCAGGGGCACAGTGAACAGGTCAATCTTACTGTCTTTTTTCACAAATTGCAGCTAATCTCGTTTTGAAATGCTGCAACCATAGACAACAATTTGGTCAGATTGATGCTCAATAATACTTTGGGATTGCTATTGGAATGATCAATGTTGAAGGGATGATGCCCTTGCAGGTTGCAGCGACAACTAGAAAGATTCCAAATTCCCGCATTCCGAACTACCCAAACCTGCCATCTCAGTTGCTGTGTCAAGTTCACAACATCACCTTGCATGTGAGTTCAAGCAAATTCAATTCCAAACATATTTGTGGCCAAATGTGTTTTGCCTGTGCTTGATTGTTTGTTTTGCACAGGCCGACAAGGACACTGATGAAGTTTATGCACAGATGACCCTTCAGCCAGTAAACTCTGTAAGTATGATGTTTCTCTGTTACATTGTGTACTGAGTTCTGTACTACTTTATTTGGTTCTATTAAAATGTAAACACCAATTGTTATTGAAATGCATAAAATGTGATTACAGAAACAAAAATTCAGTGTGCAAGGAATAAAAGATGGATTCTAAATTAATATTTATTTGTGCCGTCTATTGTAGGAAACGGATGTATTCCCTATTCCAACTCTTGGTGCTTATACCAAAAGCAAGCACCCCACTGAATATTTCTGCAAGAATTTAACCGCAAGTGATACGAGTACACATGGTGGTTTCTCGGTGCCACGAAGGGCTGCAGAGAAGTTGTTCCCACAACTGGTATAGCCTTTATCTACATTTTGTTTGCCGCATAGTTTTTCTGTAAAAAAATGCTTCAGCTCATGGGTTTAAGTTTTGTACCGACAGGATTACTCAATGCAACCTCCTAACCAGGAGCTTATTGTTCGAGATTTGCATGATAACATGTGGACATTCCGTCACATTTATCGTGGTAGGGTCAAACAATATTCGGATTTTATTTGTCTTGTTCATTGATACATAAATATATGCTTCTTGGGCCACTGTCTCCTAAAAGTTTCTTCTTTTCTTGTCCCTTGCAGGACAGCCAAAACGACATCTTCTAACAACTGGATGGAGTCTCTTTGTTGGGGCAAAGCGTCTAAAAGCAGGGGACTCTGTCTTATTTATAAGGTGAAATAAGTTCTATAAATACATGCAAAGTCTGTTTGTTACTTAACCTGTGTGTGCTATCAGAAAATTGAATCTGAGATTGTTAAGCCTTTTGATACTAAACCCTATGCAACAATTCATGCATTGAAATACCACAAGAACTGCTTATGTTATTTGCTCTTTCGAAAGAATGTCCATTACCAGTATTAGATTTTCCTACAGCGGCTATCTACTTAACCTTAACCAATATATACATATTCAACTTTCTAGAATATTAAAATCTCAACAACAATAACTTTTCTATTTCTTGTCAGTTCTAATGTGAATATGACTGTTATAGGACACCGCACTTTTTACTCGCTCGGACTGACAACAGCTTGTATGTAATAGTATAATATTTTCTTCACAAATATGTGAGGATGAAATGCCATTTTTGACAGAAGTTCCTGATTGCAGGGATGAGAAGTCACAACTTCTTTTGGGTGTTAGGCGAGCCACGCGACAACAAACAATGTTGTCATCTTCTGTTCTATCTACTGATAGCATGCACATTGGCGTTCTTGCTGCTGCAGCTCATGCCGCATCAAGTGGTAGTTCATTTACTATCTACTACAATCCTAGGTACAGAAATTTACTTACCCTTTTACATATGCTTTTTTTTTTCCTGGTGAGCATTTGGTCATTCATGGAATCTCCATAGGACAAGTCCTTCGCCATTTGTAATTCCTGTAGCAAGGTACAACAAGGCAACATATATGCAACCATCAGTTGGAATGAGATTTGCGATGATGTTTGAGACAGAGGAGTCAAGCAAGCGCAGGTTTGTCCACTTTTTGTTCTCATTTTACATAGCTTTTGTTTTCTGTTTCAGATTTTATCTTTATGCTATTTATTTATGTCCACAAACTAGACCTTGGTGTACAACCGTGTAATGGATTATGCTGCTTTAAAAGTATAAATAATTCAACTGTGAATTTTCATGATTCACATTGGAAAAATAATGACTACATCAAATGTCGTTGCATGGGCATACTTGCGTTCTATGTTGAGTTTAGCGTTTTGTTGATTAAGTACAGCTAGAAAACATATTCCATATTGTAAACAAAATTGTCTTGTTTTACAGATACACAGGTACAGTTGTGGGAATAAGTGACTACGACCCCATGAGATGGCCCAATTCTAAATGGCGCAACTTACAGGTGCCTTTTTCATGCAAAAGCTTAAGGAAAACTCAGAATTCTGCCTATCATGGTGTATTTGATATTTATATACTTCTTGCTACTAGGTCGAATGGGATGAACATGGGTATGGAGAAAGACCTGAGCGTGTGAGCATATGGGATATTGAAACTCCAGAAAACACTCTTGTGTTCCCTTCGTCGACCTTGAATTCAAAGCGGCAATGTCTTCCTGGTTATGGAGGTATGTCTCTGACATATGCTATACAAATATTTATGGTCGTGCAATATGCTGAAACATGCCTTACCCTTTTGCAGTTTCAGTGCCTGGGATGGAAATTGGATCAGCAAATATGTCATCATTTCCAAGGGCTCAGGGTAATCCCTATGGCAGTTTGCAGCACATTCCAGCTGTTGGATCAGAATTGGCTATCATGCTTCTCAACCAATCTGGTCAAACCCTTGGGAGTCCCCTTAGTTTTCACCAGTCCTCATATTCTAGTATTATCCAAAATGTGAAGCAAAATTATATCCCTCCTCTAACAGTTAGCACTTCAGCTTGTTTGACAAAGCAAGAAAGCCTGCCTTCAGATGATGCCCAGCACCAGTTCCATATGGCAAATATGCAGAATGGTGATCTTGAAGGCTCTGAAGTCCAGCCTGTCATTGATTCGATTTCTGAGTCAAAGTTGAATGCTACATCAAGAGATCCAAGAAACACAGATTCATACACAAGTCGAAGTACTTCGGAGCAAAACAGTAAGGGTGAGCCTAGAGGCAAGACTCGTAGGAGTAAGAAGGGCTTGCCTCACAAAACCGTTTCAGAGAAATCTGACCTTTCTTCAGCCCCTTCTTGGATCTGTGACAATCAGCAGGTTGGTTTAGAATCGAAACTGGTTGGTTGTGATGAACAAGTAAACTGTGGAAATATTGAAGATTCATCAGGTGCACTTACTCAAGGTAATTTTGTTGGACAGCCGCATGGCCATCAGGTTGAACAAAAGGGAGTGCTGTCGCCACCAAAGGTAGAATCATCAAAATCACCTGATGGAGGAAAGTCTGTCAATTCGTTTCCAAACCAAGGGTGTTTTTCGCAGTTCATTGATGGTCTTGATTGGATGACTCAGCCTTCCTACTACCAAGACTCCAATGTAATTCAACCAGCCGGTGTGTCAGAGAACATTTTCAGTTCTTCTGCAGATATACCTCCCTCAATGATTGCTGATACTATGGAGACTTTTCAGGCTTCATGTCTTTCTGATTGCCTTCCTAATTCCATACAAGAATTCATCTCCAGCCCAGATCTGAATTCACTAACCTTTCTTTCACCTGACATGCAAAATTTGGAGGTCCAACTCCAGCATGATGGAAGCAATTTGCCAAGCACGTCCAACTCGTTTGTACAGATGAGTTTTTCTGAAGAGAGTGCAAGTCAGAGTGCAAACTTAAGTGGACTTCACATGGAATCTACACACAGAAGCATAAACACCACTTCATGCTCTCAACCAATGTCTACTGGGGGCTTTGATGCAGGGATGTACTCAAAGTTGCCACGTTTAAAAGAATCCCAAATCTTGTCTTTGCCAGAGATTCATACCAATTCCATGGGAACATCAGCTTGCAGTATGGATGCAACCGAGTACAGCCTTGACCGAAGTGCGAAGCCGATGAAACCACCAGTGCGGACATATACAAAGGTTTATACTACTTGACTGTTTATATGTTACCATTTGTCAAATGCTCTTGATAGTAAATATAACTTAACAACTATCTATTATGTTTTTTTTTGTAATACATAGGTTCAAAAGCAAGGATCAGTTGGAAGATCTATCGATGTTACAGGGTTTAGAAATTACCATGAGTTGAGATCTGCCATCGCTTGCATGTTTGGTCTCCAGGGGAAATTGGAGCATCCTGGCAGTTCAGAGTGGAAGCTTGTATATGTCGACTACGAAAATGATGTTCTTCTTGTCGGAGATGATCCATGGGAGTAAGTAGACATGTCTTCGAATTGGTGTCTCCTGTTCTTTCTACTCCTGGTCAGCATATTAATTGACACTCATACCTATGTGCTTTTGCTTCTACAGGGAATTCATCAACTGTGTCCGGTGCATCCGGATTTTGTCACCTTCAGAAGTACAACAGATGAGCGAGAATGGCATGCATGTTTTGAACGACTGTATTCAAGCAGCTTAGTAGTACCATTTTCTGGATGAAGCTCTATATCGACATGAAGGCCACAAGAGAAATGCACATCCGAGAAGCTGTAGTTCTCTGAATGCGTTGCATTACTGAATGTTAAGCTGATTTGTTGACACTTGACAGTAGTGTTTGTGGTAGAGACTTACAGGAAAAAAAAAGGCTCATCTTTTGCAAGAAGACCAGGTAGGAAAGCCCAAGCTGTGGAAAATAGTGTGCAGTGATTACTCATGCTTTGATGCATTTCCAACTTCCACTGTATGTTGCGAGCTATGTCGAATCAGAAACTTATTTGGTTCCTTACTTCACTCAGTATACATTCAGTTTGATCTCTCTCCATGATGCAATACGAGGGGAGGTAGTACAGTATACAAACATGAGTTAGATTGTAGAACCAAAAACAATGATTTTCAAATTTTTCAATGTAGTATTATAGAACGACATATATGATCTGGAGAAGGGTGAGGCTACAAGCAAGGTCGCAAGGTCCGTAGGAGTAAGAGCTTGTCTCACAAAACCATTTCAGAAAAATCTGACATTTCTACTTTGAGCGAACAATCATTGTTTGCAACACCCCGAGTACCTAAGACCCTCATGCTACATGTGAGCATCAAAGGATGATAGAACAATAGCCAAAAAACCAGTGCAATCACAAAGGAGTAGTATCTACTAGCGACGATCCAAAAGAAACCGCTTCCTGGTAGAAATCCTCTCCTGCAAACGTTCCAATCAATCCAGTTGATTTCGCCACCCGCATCTTGATAAGTACTCGTAGAAGACTTCACCAGACATAAGTTCGTCTGCATTCAAAATATGTGACCCAACGTAAAATTTACTCATTATTTTGATTGCTAATAAGCTATATGAATAAGCATATAAGTATAATTGAAACAATGAGTCCCTCACTTTATGCTATATTTTTCCATGCCTCCAGAAACCATACCTTTAGAGGCCGGCCACATCAATATCAACACTGGCCTTGCAATAAAACTGGATAGCTGCAGCACCCATGATTTCAAGAAAATAAGCAACAGCATGCGCAACCACCTTTGAGTGATTTTTTCAGATTTTTGTGTGACCCAGCAAGAGAAACACCACAAGTGTGGAAGCATGGAGGCACAGATGGATGAACTCGGTCTTTCTAGTGGGCTCAAAATCATAGGCAGTGTCAACAAGATACTTCCCAGCTTGGAGAGCTATAAAGAGACCAAACCAAAAGAGAGCAATATACACATCAAGCTCTGACTCATCTGTAATGTGTTTCAGCAGCTTCCAGGTAATTAGCACAAGTGAGCCATGGAACGCAAGAAGCAATAGTGCCAGTATACCTAGCCGCATCCAACGCTTGCGTTCTTTTTCCCTACTTTCATCACTCTCAGTATGGCCATTGTTGATCCCATTGCTGCCTCTCTCCCTACTCCTATCGCTGTTCATGTTGTTGCTCCTCCTGCTGCTGCTACTGCTGCTGCAGCTGCTGCTGCCACCGCTGTTGCTGCCCCTCCTCCTCCTCCTCCTCCTCCTGCTGCTGCTGCTGCTGTCTCTCTCCCTTGTCCTCTGTCTGAATTGCCCAGCAGGTCCAAGCAGCCTTTCCGTGCCATTTTCAGTGTCTTGAGCTGTATCCCACTCCCGAGCCAAATTGTTCAAGCCATTTTCCATCCTCCATTCATGGCCTGATCCAGTGTTGTTGCTCTGGCCAGCCAGATTTTGTAATTCCACTATATCAAGAGTTACATCAGCTCTCTGCCTGTCTGTCACCACATTTGTGCTTGGGCCTGCCAGAAAATTGGAGCTGAGCTCAATGGTGCTCCTTGACATTTCCTGGTGAGGCACTTGGCCTGGTGGATTGAAAGGCGGGAGAGGTGGAGCACGGAAAGATGGCAGGGATCCATCCCTTGAGACTGCTGCTGAAGGAGGCGGCGCTGCTGCACTTGCCGTAGTGGACGAGGTCTGTGTAGAAAGCCGAACCGTGGGCGGTGATGGAACCATTGGCGGCGGCAGAGCGCGCGAGCTGGCGGACGCTGGTGGGGAGAAGGTCGGTGAAGGCGGTGATGGAACCATTGGCGGTGGCAGAGCGCGCGAGCTGGCGGACGCTGGTGGGGAGAAGGTCGGTGAAGGAGAAAATCCTGGCAACGACGAACTGGAACAGCTCTTCCATACCGTCGACGAGCTGGTCGGTGAGAGCTCCAGAAGCGGTGGTGGTGTTGGTGGCGACGAGGTGGATGGAGCCGAGACCTTCGTCGAGGGCGGTGACAAGGAGGGCGAGCGGGCCGCCCCTCGCCGCCGGCGTGTAGGAGCGGACGTGGCGTCGCGGGTATGCGGCGGGGCCGACGAGGAGCGCGTACCCCTTCCCCGCCGTGCCGAGGTAGCTGCTGCTGGTGAAATCATCGTCGGCGACGTGCTTGTGATCGGCGTGGAGTGGAGGAAGACGAAGGTTGGCGACGAGGAGCCGTCGCGTGGCCTCGCAATGTTGCGGCGGCGCCGACAAGGAGAGTGTACGCCCTCCCCGCCGCGCCGCGGCGGGTGGGGTTGGTTTGCTCGCGTTCTTCGTCGGAAGGGACGAACAGTACCCCGCAGATTTGGGAGGAATTGGATTTGATTTTGGTAAGACGGTAGAAATAATGGTGAGAGGTTTATGAATTTTTGGGGGACACGCCGGTGGCACGGGAAGTGTGTGCACGCAGCAATTCCTTTGCCTCGTTCCCGCTTCCCGCTGGCTGACAGACAGCTCTGTTTATTGCTGTGTGTACGCTGTAGAAGTTACACCGTTCTTGCAACAAATCGAAAAACAAAAGATGCATTTATGAGCAGGGAGTAGGGAATAAACCCACTACCACCGGTATTTGTTACGGAAACTACTAGTACGACTAGTCCTGTTCTTCTGTTCTGGGAGGAGCTAAGGCAAACCATGGTTTTCTCTGTGTTCTAGGAGTAGTTCGCAATAGATTCTCTAACTAGTTTTGTTTTGTCCATTTTAGATTGATGCCAAAATATGTTCTACAATTTTTTTTATGATTTGAATGGTAATTGTGATGTTTTGATTTGAAACTAAATGGTTGGCATTGCCCATCCCTAATAATAGATAGAAATCCGTCCTCTACATCCATATACACAACCAGACATGAGATAATCATAAACGTTTGATATAATTAGTGAGCATATTTTAATTTTTTGGACGACCCTTATCTCTCTCTTCTTCCTCCTCCTCTTCCTCCTTTCACCCCTTCACTGGCCAACTCCTCTCATTCCTCTTCTCCACATCGCCCCCCTTGGCAGCTTGTTGTGTGGGAGGTACTTTCACCTCCTCACCTTGGTGACGTTGCTGGCGAGGGATGGTAGTGGTGGAGGCCACCCCCATCTTCTCCACCTTTGGCTTGACGATGCTCGACTGCCATCTTCATTCCCAATTCGGGCACAAAGAAGAAGAGGGAGGAAGTGGCGGTCAAGAAAGCGCGTTGAGCTTTGGTCGAAGTGGGAGGAGGAAGGAAGAGGCAGCTTCCTCCATGACCGCCATCGCCGGACGACACCAACGTGGCAAGGCTGGTTAGTGTCGTGGCAGCCACCATCGTGATCATTCCGTCGAACGGTGGGGGAATGACGCTCCTTGTCGATGGGTGTCGTTGCACCAACACCGACCGCCATCCCTACTCGAGCCCGTGTGGCACTATGAGGAAGGGAGAGGGGAGGGGAAACATCTAAGGAAGAAAGGTACATAGATTTTAATAGTTAGGGATTAAAATATCTGGTATTATAGTTGAAGGACGAATCAGATTGGATGTAGTAGATTTGAGGAGTTAAGTGGACTAAGGCCCTACTTGGTTCATGGGACTAATCCATTAGTCCCTCCATTTTAGTCCCTTTTAATCCCTAAGAATTCAGACATAGGTAACTAAAAGTGTACACTCTGGGACTAAAATTTATTAGTCCCTCTTGAAGGTACTTATAGGCATAGTAGAAAAAACCCGGAACGGTAGATGACTCGATCACCATGCTGGTTCACCAGTTCGATAGTCCAACCGTAAACCGGCTGGTAGAACCGCGGTTTACTAAGTACATATAATATATATGTAATATATATATTTTCAGACTGTCACATACATTCGGCTGGTAGTATGGCTACAGGGGTTGGCTTAACTTATCTTACAGGGGTCGACTCCCCATCGGCGCACATTTCCTTTGATTTTTGCTAAAAAAAAACAAGCCTGCGGACATATATGGCCCAAAACACACTAACATCGCATTCCAGAGCATGACAAAGAGCTGCACCATGCTCAGAAGCGAAGCCCGACAACCCATTGCGCTTGCAGACAGTCTTGAAGAACCGGCGGCACAACCACCATGGCGACCGTTTGTGACAGCACTGGTGCGTTGGCGTCGGCCGTACCATGGGGCCTATCAGCCTATGCCCACAACCTACCCAGGCCGTGTTTAGTTGAGCCGATGTCGCTGTCGTCGTGAAACTCTACGTAATCGCGGACAATGAGAACGAATCACTCCTCCATGGCTGGCGCCCTCTCCTCCAGGGCTACATTCATTCTTGGCATTGGCGGCGCTTCTACGTAGATCAAACCAATCATGGTTAACTGAATAACTGGTGGTGAAGATTTCAATGCACGCTCCTCATTGACGGCTCATGCATGAATCAAGGCCACAGCTCAGAGATACGGTGTGTCCCAAGAGTGTCCCGCGTCCGACGTTGTGAGCGATGTGGTGGTTTAATCACATTAGGAATCGATGTATATATGTCTGAAAACACAAAAATTAAAGCTACGTGACTGGTGGGCCGGGGCGTATATCGGAGATGAAGAAAGAAAACACAAAATGCGGACATCGCACGTGGCGAACACGACTACGGACGAAAGCGTGTACGTAACGATTGAGAAAATCCAAATCTACTTTAAGTAGGTTAGATTAGAATAGATAAATCCGAACAAATGGCGTTTTTCATAGTTTTTCATATTTTATACTTACACTATTACGCATGTGCATCATATAATCCATCACTCCGCCCTCTTCCACTACACTATTTTCGATGCAATTGAATTTTATTGTCTTCATATTGATGAATGAAAATGGCGTGCATGTTTGTTTACAACTAGATGAAATCTCGTGCGTTGTATGAAAGTTTTGTATAATATTAGTGAAAATAACATGTAAAATAGCTACATATTATAGTAATTTTTTTATCGTTGATCGACTATTGAAAAAAAAAGCTATATATATAAACCATTTGATGATGTGGTCTATAACTATTTAAATCATATATGTATTGATCGTTTAAAAGGAAAACTAAGATGATATGACCCAATAACAGAAGGAAAAGAGAAAATAATATAAATTAATCATCAAAGATAAAACTAAGGTGATATGATTTTATAAGAAAAGAAAGAAAAAATGAGATAATTTGGGCATAAAACCATTCCATAACTAGAAACAATTAAGTTGATGTGACGTAATGAAAGAAAGAAGTACGTAGTAGTACTGAAGATGAACTTTCTAAATTTCTATAGGATTAGAGAGGCAAACAGGAATTAAATCAGCATATCTCCATGAGTGTAAGTCGTTATCTCGGTATATAGATCACTTTTATCTCCTCGTCGTCAAGTCGTGTGCGCATGCATGCATGATCCTAATGATCCTTTCTCATGGATAATGTTTCACGAGGATTTGTTCGTTTAATCCCTCCCAAAAAAATAAGAGAGATTTAGAAGGATTAATTTCACATCTACGTGGAATTATTTTTTCTTAATCCCCTCTATACCTTTTTTTTTTGAGATTATACGAACAAAGACCCAGATTTGAGGGATGATCGATTTTTGAGATCGATATATAGCCGTCACTCAGCAACGGTCGTGCCCCACGGGCGGCAGTTGATGCTCTTCGTTGCTGAAGTCGGAGATCTTGGGGATGGACAAGCCATACTCTCTGAGATGGCCGACGACGAGGTATAGCCAGAATAGGCACTCAAACACACCACAGGTGACGAAGAACCGGCGCCACGACACGGACATGTGGTGGTCGAGGGTCCCGATGAGCAACAAAACCACCCAAAATACGAGGAAGACAGCGGTGCCGATGACTGTCAGCTTGAATTCCCTGAGCTTGTGTTTGTACCTGGCGACTTGGCGACGCACCTCCGCGTCCACGATCTCACGCGCCGTCTCATCCTCCGCCGTATGCTCGCTCCCCGGGTCCTCCGAAACCGCTCTGTTTGGGCCGCTGCCGCCGTTTCCAAGGCAGAGTACCGGAATAATCTGCGTCTTCTCGGCCGCCATCTCCAAACTCTCTGTACTTCCGGACCCGCCGCTCATTACGCCGACGACGACGAGAAACGCGCCGGAGACTCGATTCGATACAGCTCGACGACGAACGCGCGGCGTAGGGCGCGAATCGACGAGGAGGAAGAAAAGGACCAGCGTGGTCTGGGCAAATTAAGACCGAGTCGGTGTCGGTTTTGGAGTTCTGGACGACGTATGGTTGGGCTCGGCTCACATTGCAAAGGCCCATTGATCTGTGAGACTGTGACGATCAGCAGCCCTTTTTTTTGGGAAAAGCTAGATACCGGTATCCCGTCCCTAGCATCCACGACGGTATCTTCTTTTTCCTTGTTCCCAGAGCACGAGCACACACATGCAGCTGCGGAGCAGCGCTAGCATCGGGCATGCGACAACGGAGGAAGAAGGGAGCTCACTGGAGAAGCTCCCCGCTGCCTCGCGAGCACATCAACAGAGAAGATATGCAGTGCCGCGGGCGACGCGTTCCGGCGTGACGGCGGAGCACGTGGCCGCTGGTGACGAGTTCCGGCATGGGGCGTTGACGATGGAGGTGTTAACAGTGAAATTTGGTAAGCCCTGAGTAGTCATCGGCTTAGAGTCAGCATCGGCTTTGAAGTCCTGAGATTAGCCGATGAGAGTTGTCAAGTCGTCAGTTGTCGGATTCTTACTATATTCGGTTAAGAAAATTGATCTACTAAAGGAAGCTTATCCAGAAGAGACCGAGTTCAAAGAGAATGCGGCATGGCAAGTTATCTATTAATTAGGAATAGTTTGTTAGTTTTCTTTTATCTTGAGGAAAATGTGTTTAGTGTCCTATAAAGACTTTATCTTTTCCTTTTATCTTTAGAAAAGTTTCTTTCTTGTCCGACAATGACTTGTATCAACCCATGGGTATAAATATGTACACCAGGGGTCTATGTAATCTATCGCTACAATCAATACAATTCGGCGCATCGCCACCTTTTACCTTTTCTACTTTATTTTATCGTCCGGCGGGACTTGGCACCTGACGCGGGGCTGCATCGGTGTTCGATCTCCGGCTAAGGGGTAAGTCCAATGTTCCGTCGGCCCAGGCAATTATATCATTTACGTCGGCGTCGTTCAAGGCTACATCAGTACATTCAACCTCTTGAATTGCTCTGGTTTGGATGATATATTTGCCTACCTATTTATCATATGTCTCTGTTAATCTAGTCTTTGCATATCAATTTAGCTCTATCGGCTGCTTCTCGTTTTAGGGTTTCTGCCGGTATCAGCTAAATCGCGTTGCTAGATTAGATTAGCTTAGACATCTACCACCCTGAAAACTCAGTCAACGGCTTGATTGTCTAGATATTGTGTTTTTTTTCATACTTAGTGTTGCATCAGTTAAGTTTGATCTACTAAGTCGTGTTTAGAACTATAATCTCTAGTCTGCTTCTTGATTGCCAATAAGGGTTTCATCGGGGTTTCAGCTGATGAGTTATCTAGACGTTACATTGGCTTGTAAGGATTGCATATACATACATATTGGATTTAGCCGATCGTAACAAAGGTTTCACTGTTTAATCTAATCTTGTGGATTTAATGACATCGGACCTCCAGCCGATGTATGCTTTAACCTTCGGATCAGTGCTTATTCTATCATATCATTGTTAGCCGATTGGTTTCTACCGGATTATATTACTATATTATATTATCATCAACCGATTGCCTTTATATCATTATCTACATTGGACATATAGCCGATTGCTTAAACCTTATCGCTATTGGCTGGTATCGGCATCGGCTGGAATCACTCCATCGGTTTGTCAGCCGATCGGCTGTTTTATCTGCTGTTTACATATCTTGTCAGTTGCAAGATCAAACTGACTGGCACGCCCGCATCTCATCAATCTTTGGACCTGCACAGAAGTTAAGCAGATTTCCCAGGCCGGTGTGTTCGATTTTTTCGTCAACAGGAGGACGCAGCCACCAGTGTGGGGCGTGGCAGCGGAGGCATGGCCGCTGGCGACGAGCTCCGGTGTGGGGCGTTGACGACGGAAGACGCGACCGCCGGCAACTTGCTCCGACGTGGGACGTGACGGCGGAGGACGCGGCCGTCGGCGATGGCGATGAGCCCGGTGTGGGGCGTGGATGACGGAGGAGCGGTCGCAGGTGACAAGCTCCATTGTGGCATGGACAGTGGAGGATGTGGTCGCCGACGACGAGCTCCAAGGTGGGCATGTGGGCAGCATGGGCACCACCAGCGCTGCCACTTTGGGTGCCCGAGCTCCCGATATCTCGTAAGTATCACCTAATACATGGTAGGAATCGTCTGATATCTGACAGGTATATCACCTGATACGTGGTAGGAATCGCTGTTAACGACCATATTTGGAAATGCCACGTCATGGATTCAAAGCTAGAGTCAAAGCCGATTTGGAGAAATTCCGTTCGAGAAAGCAGAATACGCATCGGTTACAAGCAGCATCGGCTACCGCATGAATCGGCTATAGGCGGTATCAGCTGCCACATATCGGCTAAGTGTCGGATCCGATGGAGTTAAGCCGATGCAACCAGTCTCAGGAAAGATGGTCCCACGTCCGTCATTGGAATTGGTCGAAGCACTTCATAGCCATTGCCACGCAAGGATTGGAGTCCTAAAAATACAATTGTAGCTATTAATTAGGACATTTTTCAGTTTCCTTAGAGATATGTTTGGTAAGAGTCCACCTAAAAGACTTATTCGTATTTTAGGTTGTGTTAGAGATAAGAGGTGTCTAGTAAGGACACATTATGTACTTGGGTATAAATATGACCCGACACCATGTAATCAAGGGATGACAGTTCAATAATACTTCAGCGCATCGCCACCCTTTTTATTTTCGTTGTTTCGATAAGTTTTTACTTTCGAGTTGGGCTGCATCGGGTTCGATCTCCGACGAAGAGGTAAAGCTTTTTATGGCGGCTTGCGTTCTCGAGATTAGTGCTTACATCTTCATGACACTCTAATCCTGTCTATATGTAAACCACCGAGTTATCAAATATACCGCATAATCTAGATTGATCTCGTCATCTAAACTTCATCAGCTAGCCTCTATTATCGAAAACAGCCAGCAGGTTTAGGTTTCGATATCAAGCTAGACTATGCAGTGTATCTACCATCTTGAATGAGTTTTCATCGATTTGATTAGATATTATGTGTCTTTTCACGCTTAATGCTGCATCGGTTAGGTTCGATCTGTTAAGTACTGTCTTGAAATATTTTATCTAGCTCTTTCTTTGATTGTTAATAGAGATAGCATCGGAGTTTCAGCCGATCTTACCTGATTTAGTCATCTTGTTTCCTTATTTGGTTCTAGATCATCTAAATCTGCCCCTTATATCAAGATCTCATACGTTTAAAGTATATTAAGCTTCCTATCAATCTGCTAGTTCACTCTGCTTGTTAGATTGGTTTCAGTTTTGTATATTTCATCTGTGCTGATATCTTGGTATAAGGTGGTATCGGAATACTAGCCGATACAAGTTAGGTTTGCCCAAACCTATCGGCTATGCTGTGAACGTACATATCCTTACTTTGGGGCTCGTCTAGATATTGAGTGATTTATACTGTCTCAATGCAGCGACCAATCTTATCCCAATCACTTAGTCTAAACGTGTTCCATTGGACAGATTATGTATCGTTAACATCTACAGCCGATCGAGTAGACCCAACAATCTCCAAGTTTTATCTGCCTTTGCCAATCTGACGCAAGTTACATCGGCATGGCTTCGGACGATATGTCATCGGCAATCCAGCCGATCGGCAATCGTTGATGGATTTAACTTTGTCTTTTTTTATATCTTATTGGTTGCAGGATCAAACCAGCTGGCATGCTCAGAACCCGAAGAAAATCTCTTTGAACCTGCACTAGAGTTAAGTAGATCTCTCGGGCCAGTACGTGTTTTTCGTGTCAACAATCGCCTGATACCTTATAGGTATCATCTGATACCTCGCAAGTATCGTCTGATACCGGCTAGGTATTAGGACATGATACCTCATAGTTATCAGGACCTGATACCTAAACAGTATCATCCCGTCCCAACAGGATTCCGTTGTATAGCAGCCCTTCTTTTTTTCATGAAGGTTGTTGTCACACCCCGAACCGGCACCGCCGTACAACTTATGACAGAGACAAGAGATAACAGAAACTTGACATAATAGTATGATAGAATTGGACCTACATATATAGAAGTATAGAACGATCTGGATTTTGGAGTGACCCCCTCTTGTGAGGGATAATCGATCTATAGCCGTCAGTCAGCAAAGGTCGTGGCCCACGGGGCGGCAGCTGATGCTCTTGGTTGCTGAAGTCGGACATCTTGGGGACGGACAAGCCATAATCTCTGAGATGGCAGATGACCATGAATAGCCAGGGTCCGGACGCAACCATGCCAGAGCTGACGTAGGTCTGGCGCCACGACTCGGACATGTGGTGGTCGAGGGTCCCGACGAGCAATAGGGCCACCCAAAATGCGAGGACGAGAACGATGACGATGGCTGACAGCTTGAATTCCCAGAGCGTCTGCTTGTACCTGGCGACTTGGCGACGCTCCTCCGCCGCCGCCGTATCCTCATTCCCCGTGTCCTCCGAAACCGCTCTGTTTGGGCCGCCGCCGCCGCTTCCAAGGCAGAGTGCCATATGGTCGCCCGGCGTCTTCTCGGCCGCCATCTCAACTCGCTGTACTTCCGGACCCGCCGCTTCTCAGGCCTTCCAAAATCGACGACAACGAGAATGCCGCGCCGGGGACTCGATTCGATACACCTCGACGACGAATGCGCGGCGTAGGGCGCGAATCGACGAGGACGAAGAAAAGGACCAGCGTGTAGATGGATCGGTCTGGGACCGAGTCGGTTTTGGAGTTCTGGACGACGTATGGTTGGGCTCGGCCCACATTGCAGAGGCCCATTGATACGTGAGACTGTGACGATCAGCAGCGCTTTTTTTTTTCATGAAGGTTGGTTACTTGTGAATTTGTGTTTGACAGTATAAATCCGACACGGGTATTCTTCAGTTTTCTGATGGTTTTGAAATTTTTGAATTGTCGGCCTTTCTATTAGAGATGGGATTGTCTAGTAGTGTTTGAAAATACCACCATGATATAATGAGGTGATACCCACGTTTGCTTTGAAATACATGTTAAATCTCTACTATTATAAAAATTGAAGATGTTTTTACCGTATTTTGGTATGTCATCCATATTTGAGTCGGGTTTTAAGTTCGTTTGTTTTGAAATACAGATCCATGTCTGAGTTAGATTTTAAGCTTGTTCCTGTCGGAAGTATAAACGGAGTCATATAAGAAATCTTTTAAAAAAAACTCGTATGCTAACTTGAGATGAAATACGTACTCCTAATAAATATCCTAACTAAACCATAAAACAATAATAAAATTAAAATAGCATTTATCTGTTACAATGCACGGGTATTTTTTAGTATTATAATATAAAAGATAATAATATTATATTCTAAATGATGTCATGTTTGAATGAAATTTAAGATACTCTTGAGTAGTTATTGGTACAATTCAATTTTTTTTGAGCGATTCGATCCGCCATGCTCGTAGTTTTTGACGAATCTAAATTGTTTGGTTAGACTCCAGCTATAGGAAAGGTGGATTCGAGAGATGGAGTTCTGCTAAACAGGGCCTTACATGATCTTTATTTTCTAATAATTGCTAGTAGATGTTAATTATATGTAAGGTAGGAGTATATAATTTATGTGCCTATGGGAACACCAATATAACCATTGGGGACGCTATATAGCTAGGAAGTGACTATGATTATACCGGTCATCGATAACTGAGTGGTAGTAATTATGGATATCCATAAAATGTGCTGGGAAACAATACTCGTTGATATATTTTTCACTCTGCTACCAATAACCATGGTTCATTTTAAAACATAGATTATGAAAACACGGGAATAAGAAAACACATAAATGAAGTTATAGCCCCATAGGTCTATAGGAATATTTAATTTATTATGTTTTTATTTCAGTCCTATTCTTTTGTTGTAACTTGTAAAGTCTACTAGAATTTATTTTTAAATAAATAATGAAATTCCTTGATGCAAAGAATCCGTAAGCGAAGCCACCTGATCCAAAGCGGACGCTGCTATATAGCAAAAACCGGCTCATTCTCTCGAGTCCGAGCAGCAAACCAAAAACCAAGGCTCTCTCCCACTCGACCGAACCCCCTCTCTCTGCTTCCTCTGCTCCTCGGAGAGCCGCAGCCAAGGACGCCAAGATAGGGACCGAAACCCCCGCCGCCGATGGCGACGCCGCCCGCAAGCGGCCCAGCGCCGGCGACGCGCCCGCCCCAGCCCCCCTCGCCGACAAGCGCCACCGCCCCAACCCCCCGTCCTCCGGCTCCCGCGACCGCGACCGCCACCACCGCCACGGCCACAGCCACAGCCACGGCCACGCCCGGCCGTCCACCGCGGGCGGCGGGGAGAAGAAGCTGCGGGCCTCGCACATCCTGATCAAGCACGAGGGCTCCCGCCGCAAGGCCTCGTGGCGCGACCCCGAGGGCGTCGCCATCTCCGCCACCACCCGCGACGACGCCGCCGACCTCGCGCGGGCCCTCCGCGAGAAGATCGTCGCCGGGGAGCGCAAGTTCGAGGACGTCGCCACCGAGGAGTCCGACTGCAACTCCGCCAAGCGTGGGGGTGACCTAGGTCAGTACGCCACACGCCGCTACCCATCCACCCCCATGTCAATCTGTTGGTGTGTTTCTATACAGAACTATGAGATTTGCTTTCTGATGAGCGTCTGATTAGATGTGCGGATGGAACTTGTTATTTCGAATCGATCTGAATTTTAGATTAGTACTAATGTTATACAGGCACAGAAATTTGATTTATCAAGTACACTTCGTGAGATCTATGTGAAGGAGGTGGTGCCGTGTTAGTTTGTATTAGGACGGTCAATTTTGATGAAGCTATCCCCGTTTTAATTATGTGCAGTAATTGAATTTTACATGTGACAATTGTGCTATAATTCGTGAAGACAGTCATGTTAGCTCTTAATATGAGACAATTACTATCAGTGTACCATCGCTTCAGCGTGATAAAGTATGAACATCACTGCCAGATTCTCAGTTTTGATTGGTGACCTAGTCCACTTAATAAGAGTCTTAAGAATCATGCGCTGATGCAGTTTTGTTTGCGCCACCCTTATCTAGTATCCGTTGTGTTTTCCATATCGAACTGTCCTTTTTGATGGAATTGGGGCTCTAGTAACTGCTATTATGGCGGGGATCATTAATTTCTTTTCTTGTTATGAACATGTCATGTCCTTATGGTCCGCCTTTGGGTATGGGCCGAGAGGGCCAAGGCCCAACAGGAACGGTATACGTAGCTCAGTTGGTTAGAGAGTCTAGGGTTAGAAGTTCCCCTCTATCTATATATAAAGGGTTAGGAAGTTCCCCTCTATATAAAGGGGATGGTTCCCCAGGTTAGGGTAGGAATTAGATTGAATTATCTCTTCGTGCCCACCGACCCTGTCTCCTCGGCGCTGTATATCTTATTCTTTAGGAAAAAGGAAAAATGTTACTCCGCAGGCGGAAACCATGGTCATGGTGACCAACTTGGAATGTGTGACAGCAGTCAATTCCTTCATTTTTCTTCTTTCTATGAATACCTTGTAAAATAATCACCTGTATTTTACTGCTGCCAATTTGTTGATAAGATGGACAGTTTTGCGGAACATGGCATAATTTGCTATATGTAGTTATGTACATGAGGCAAACACATTCGGGGCATGAGACACAGCACAATACACTATTACAGATATAGCGGTGTGCTATTGCTTTTTTTTTTTCTCAAAAGGATTTTCTCAGCATGTGATGGCTGGCTATATTGATCTTTTGTGGATATTTGCATTCAGACCATTTCCATCCCTGGGACTATTAAGCACTATTATGAGCATGCACATGAGGGACTAAGATCACAAAAACAACGCACGATACACTAGTAATGAATTTTCTTGCAGGTCTATTGTTCCCTGTGCGGGAAATTATTACCTGCCCAAATCGGAATAACCACTTGTGACATCACAATTAAGTTGGAATATCTTGGGCTGGGTGGTCTCCCCTATTATGTCGCTGCCATAATGAAATGATGCTTTTGGAGACGGTTATTCTGGCAGATGCGTTAGCATTTGGCACAGTATCTGACAGGGAACATATGAGTTGTAATTGAGGTCTCATGGTTTGCTAGTGTGATTACTATGAAGTAGTGAGAAGGAGACGGCAATAGGTGTAAGCTGACAGAAAATTTTGATATTGTCCCTTTTTTTCAGATGTCTCCTATTTATCTGTTCTTTCTATTCCACATATATGATTAATATGTTTGCAAATTATTTGGTACTGTTTATCTTGGTGTTAGTAATTTTTTGGTGCGAAAAAGGAGAAGAAATTGCAGGGGAGCAAAGTGCCACATGCTATTGTGGCAACTAACTTGGTTCTTCTCACAAGGAATTCATGTCCATGATTCTATTTCTACTGATGATTCTTGATTTCACACTTCTCTTACTAGCCGAGACCTCATAATTAAGAGTGATCTTACTTTCGCAGTTTATGGCTGCAGGTCCATTTGAAAGAGGCAAGATGCAGAAGGCTTTTGAGAAGGCAGTTCTTGCTCTGAAAGTTGGGGAGATAAGTGATGTGGTTGATACAGACAGTGGGGTGCATATCATACTGAGGACTGCCTGATTACGGCGGCAGTACGGGCCTTCTCAATCTCTCATTCTCTATACACTCCGTCGCTGTCTGCAACTCTGCATATCATATTGAGGCTGTTTGGGGGCAGAAGTATGGGCCTTGTCAATCTGTATACACTGGGGAAATTGGATGTTGGTTATTGCTTCGTTACAAACCTGTGCATGTACTCTCGATCTGCGAAAAGTTTATGTTTTACTCTTACATTTTGCTGGAGACATTTGCTCTGGAATGATGCTCAAGACAACCTATGAATATTGATTGTTACAACATGTTTGGAATTAGCTGAACTGAGCAGGAAGTTATCGATGCATTCCTGCTTACATTCTTGTTTTTGGGTCGAAATGCGAGCTCAGTCAGATGATGAATTTTAAAAAATTTCTACACAAATCCAGCTGTTTGGTAGAGTTTGCCACTTTCGAATGAAATTCGAACGAAATCGTGAATCTGACAGGCGTACGAGTGCTCCAGCGTACAGGAGGCAGCTGCCGATTGGATCCCGCAAACCTCGCGCCTTTTCCGCGATTCAGCCACGTACACGCACCGTCCCCTTCCTGGGCTCCTCTTCGTCTTGCTGCTGCAGCTTTCCTTCTTCTCCACCCCCTCGGATCTCCAGGAGTCGATCGATTCTCTTCTCCTTCTCCCCCAACTCTCCACCTTCCACACCCTTCGGCGACACGCCGACGCAGACAGCCACCGCACGCGGCGGCGACGACAGCAACACCGGCCACCATGGGCGCGTCCACCTCCACCAGCAACCCGTCACTGGAGGCGCAGGAGCAGGAGACCCTCGCGTCGGCCTCCCTCGCCCTCCCGCTTCTCCGCGCCGCCTTCTCCCGCTCGAACGGTTCGCTGGCGGAGGCGCTGTCCCCGCCGCCCGCCGCCTTCCGATCCGACTCGCCGCCGGTGCCCCCGCGCTTCCACGACCTCGTCGCCCGCCTCGGCCCCGCCATCGCCTCTCTCTTCTTCTCCGACGTCGGCCCCGCGGGGGACGCGGCCGGCTGGCTCGGGTTCCTCAGGGGATTCAACCGCTGCTGCGCGCGCGTTCCGGCGTCGCAGTCGCTGGCGCTGCTCCTCCGCGTGTACGCCGCGGCCTGCGCCGACGCGGGTGCTCCCTGCGGCCTTCAGTTCCACCCGGACGAGGACGGCGCCGGTGGCGAGGGGAAGGTCGTGGGGGAGCTGGCGCCGGGGGAGATCGCCGTGTTGCTCTGGATGTGCTGGGTCATGGCGTGGAGCGGTTCGGCTCCCGGGGTTTCGGGTGGTCAGGAGGGAGGCGGCAAGGGGGAACCCGTGTTGCTCCCGGACGTGACGCACCTGGTGCTGTCGGCGCTCGTGTCGGCGGGCGCCGTCGCGGATGACGCTGGTGTTTGGGGATGGGAGGTTTCCCGTGGTGGGAAGGGGGTGAAGGTCCAGGAGTTCACGTCTTGGGTGCTGTCCACGGCTGCTGGGCTTGGCAACTGCCTCTCGCGGTATGTGCAGGAAAGGTTCCGGTCGTGCGCAGCTGATCCAGTAGAGGTAAGCAAGCTGCATTGCAGAGTCAGTAATTTACTGTGAAAGGTTAGCTGCATTGCCTTTGTTTTGCATAGAACATGGATTTTGAGAACCAGACATATTGCATACTTCAGATAAGTGCAAAATGGTGGGGGATCTTCAATTGATGTGATTTTGCCATGTTTTCATTAGTTATGCTGTACTCCCTCTATTTACTTTTTCAATTTAACGTCCTCATTAAAAAATGATGGAAGGGATATTAATCTTAGGTGTTCTTTAGTAGATTCATATTTGATGACACATTGTCAGTTGTGGGAGAACTAAATTATGTAGTCAGATTCTGTTTATTCCCAGTATGCAAATTATAAGAAAAATTCTGGGATGCTTAGATTCAAAATGAGTAAATGACTGGTAAGAAGACAAGGATGCTTAGAGTCAAAATGAATAAATGACTGCTAAGAAAACATGCCATTTCTTCTTTATATCTGATAGTTCAGGGTGACTAAAGAATCCTACTGAGGATGTCCAGGCATAATGGTGTTTGGTTAGTAAATTGCTCTGGTGTTTCTGATGTGGCTGGGTCTTTACTGTAACAAAAAGATAAATAAGTCACAAAAACTTTTGGTTTGCACTTGGTTTTAGTAGTTTGGAGCTCCTTTCTGTGATGATCATTGTTTTGCTACAATGATGAAGCTTTATTTATTTTACCCATTTTATTGGAGGAACCAATTAGATGGCATATTAATGATCATTAAGCTTCAACCAAATGTTTGATCTTAGACGTTGATTCTTACACGCAGGAACGTTCTGTTTCAACTGGTAACACGTCATCTTGTAACCCTGACGTATATTTGTTAACACGTGGGAGGGCATGGGCAATCTCTCTCAGCCTCAGAAACACATTGAGTGAAAAGTTTTTATCAGCATCTGTCATTGGAATGGATACAGAAGACCTTCTTTATAGGTTACTCCTTGTTCTAAACATCTGGTGACATTTTACTCGTTCTTATGTTTTTTTAATGTTTCTATTGAAGGCCGTAAACTTCTAAACTGTAATCAATACCAGATCAATTCCTATTATGGTTTTTCATTACATTTTGGTAACTTTTAGCCTTTACTGAATACATCTCTGCAGGTCGTCAGTTCATGGAAAAGGGCTGAGCCGGTTTTGGTCTTGTGTTGAGGGATATAAAGGACCAGTGCTAATTTTACTCTCAGCTTTCTCTCGTAGTGGTGGTGACAATGTTGATACTGATCAAAGATGGGGCATTGGTATATTAACCGAGGAGGGTTTACAGAACAAAGACACCTTCTATGGTAGCTCTGCTTCCCTGTGCTCCACATATCCAATATTCCGCATGCTCCCACCATCTGGTATGACTTGTGCTGGTCATTTCCTTTTTACCACAGCTGATAGTAGCTTACGGCCTTACTGTGCCTCTGACCTAGCAGGTAAGGAGAAGAATTTCATATATTGCCACCTACATCCTCAGATAAGGGTGTACGAGGCAAAGCCAAAGCCTGTTGGTTTAGGATTTGGTGGAACGATTGGAAATGAGAGAATCTTTTTAGATGAGGACTTCTCTAAACTTACAGTTCGCCATCATGCTGTTGATAAGACTTACCAACATGGCTCCCTCATTCCCAACCAGGTGAATTTTTGCATGTACTAGTCATTACAAATTATAACCTGATTGTGCTGTGAAGTTTTTTAGGTAGGAAATCTGAATCTGTTTTGTTCCTGAAATACAGTTTGTCAATTAGTTGGTAGCAGAAGCAGAATGGGTTTTCAAAATGTCGTTGTAGTGCCAAGGGAAGTAATAAGATTGAGGCAATGGATGATTTTTCAGTTGAGTAGTACTGACACTAAGCTAAAAAGAATTCACAAATTAGAAACTGCATCCTGTTTATAATTTACATAAATTACGAACAACACTGGTAGCCATGTAAACTGCCTTTTAGGTTTCATTTTAATAGGGCACAAGAACACTTTGCCACTTTCCTTCCCTTGTAAGGTCTGGAATGAATTGTAGTAGCAGTATGTGTTGTGAAACAAAGAATTCATGAACTGATATCATCTGACCTCGCTTCAGACAAATCCTGGCCTTCGATTAAATGCTAGCAAAACATATTACTCTACACTCTGTTTCTTTTCATGTAGGGTTATTTACCTGTTGAGGCTTCAGTACTTGATGTTGAAGTATGGGGCCTTGGTGGAGAAGCAACGAGACGGCAACAGGATATGTACAAGAAGAGGGAGGATATTTTCTCAGAGCAGCGAAGAAAAGTACTAATCAAAGCACCTAAATCTTTTAACTACTAACTATGCTAGTACTGTTAAACGTGTGACAGAAATTTTAATGACTGTCCCCTATTTTTGTTTTCAGGTTGATCTCAAAACATTTGGCAATTGGGAGGACTCTCCAGAGAAAATGATGATGGACATGATTTCTGATCCAAATGCAGTTCGACGGGAGGACCGTTGAATACAATTTTGGACTATATGTTTATTATAGCTCATTATCTAAAAAATGTTTATTATAGCTGCCTTAGTGCCAGTACATATCTGGACATGGGAAATGGACGATCTTGAGGTTTCATCTTTCTTGTACCTTGGAGATATATAGAGGAGTAGGTGCACATATTTGCTCCATTTGATGTTTGGGCCATTTGACTGGGCAACACGTCATGTAAGTATTGAATTGAAAAGAGTCTTGTATACAGAATATCGGTCTACAACGGCATAGAGCTTCCTTTCTCATGCTCCCCTTGTTTTATGGGAATCGATAGCAAACAAATTTGTATCTGTATTGTAAATTGTAGATTATTCCCGTGTCCAGACTATCACACAGACATGGTAATTTCCGATTATCTCACATCGGTTTGCAAACGGCCTGGTTTCTCGTTAATGTCTGACGGTTCCCTTGGCCGATTCATCCCGGCTCCTGCAGTATCATAGGCTCACGTTATCAGTATCTGTTAAACCAAACTACATTTTCTCGAGTTCTGTACATATGCTGAAAGGTGCTCCCTCCGTGGCTTCATCCAATTTTTTTTTATTTCTAGCTACAAAACTGGACAAACATTGAGTTCATAGTTAGAATTGAATTTTTGGACCAAGAATGTAGCTGGTAATAATATAAAAAAGCTGAGTTTGCCGGCTTATAACTTCTAATTTATTTTCTAAATTTTGTAGGTGCTTGTTTTCAAAAACTAGGTAAAAATTTAAATCGTTTATGACTCAAACAGTGCATAGGTTTGGCCCGTGTCTGTTCCAAGAGAGAACAAGGATACCTTTGCAGCCATGATTGGGTAGAAAGAACACACACACAGTTACACATAGTACGATGGACGTGACGAGACAGTACGAGATAAACACACACAGAGCGGGAGCTAGCGGTAGACCATATGCCTGCTACTAGTAGCAAAAGTACGTGCAGGCTGCTGCTGCTGCCCTTCCCCGGGTTGTGCTGTTCATTTCACAAACTCTGGTGCAACCACTGGCCTGATCGATGATCGATCGATCGGATAGTACAAAAAATGTACTAGGCATGCATGTTCAGTTTCACCGACCAATTGCCCATCAACTACCGCGGCGGCAACAAATTCTCTGCCCGACCATGATTTGCCCGGAGACTCACCACCCCACGCCATGTTGGTGGCTGCTACTCCCTCCTGTGGTCCTGCCTGTCGGCTCCTTAATCTCGAGAGCACACATTCCATTTTCCACCTTGGGCAGACATGTCCCTTCAACTTCAACTTGTCCGTGCTCGCTTCCACTGTAGTGCATTCATTTTGCACACCAAAAGTTCCTAGTGAGCAACCAATTCAGATCCTATATGGTGGAGTATTACAATTTACACATGTAGCATTTCTCACCGACATGTGAGCCCGAGGATCTATGCACCCACGTGTTAGTGAGCAGTACTACAGCAGAGGACCCTCACTTAGAAGAACCACATTTTTTCTAGTGTACCTAGATATGTTTTTCAAATATTATCTTTATCCTAAAATACTTACTTGTTTAAAACATAACTTATCACTTTTATACTAATTTGGTATAAAGATTAAGGTTTTAAAAATATAACCATAGGATATACTATATTGAATAATGTACTCCATCACTATTTACTCCTACTAAACAACATATTAATCTTTATATTTTGCAATAGTGGGAGTATTTTTATCATGATCATGGATCGTACAGTTTGGATCCAAAAACTTTTTTTTTAAGTACGTGTCTCTCGCCTCGCCTTCTCTCTTATATCCTCGGTAAAAAAATATTAAATTCTATCTATAAATCTGGATAATCATTTATCTAAATTTATTGCTAGAATCTTTTTTTAACGAAAAGAGTATCCAACTAGACATTAATATGAGATGTGGAGATCACTATCTCCTATTGACAGGTTTATTGTATCTGCCCCTCGTTTCTCCACCACTCCGACGTTGCCCTACCCTGGCTAGCTCTGATCACCATGCCGCCATTCCATTCATGCTACTCGTACTCCCAGCTGCTGCCGATGGCAACCAAGGGTGGCGCCTTCTCCGACCTCCATGCTACTGTAGCTAGCAATTGGCAATGTAGCATGCTGCAAGCTTCTGCTGGCTGCTGCTGCGTGTGTGAGATAAGTACTAGCTTCTGCTGCCTGTGTGAGATAAGTACTAGCTAGCAGTAGTGATCTCTATAGAGAGAGCAGCTGAATCTTTTTCAGATTACACTGAAAGGTAGACGTACGAGCTGTGGTATAGAGAGCAGCTGAATCTTTTTCAGATTACACTGAAAGGTAGACGTACGAGCTGTGAATAGACGTACAATGTACAGTACTCTCCTACTACTACTACTACGATGGCTACCACCAGCTTATCCTACTACTTCTACACTGTAAAAGCAGAAAAGAAATGATACGACACGAAGTAAATAAAGATGGATCTATGGGTCGATGGACAGGCGGCGGCAGCAGCGCAACGCAGTGGACTGAAAACCGGCTGCTAGTAGCCCCCTTCCAACGCTACAGTAGCTTTTCTTCAGTGATAGCTAGCCTCGGGAACGTATGCTTGCATGAATACGATCGCCATACGCCTTGGACAAGAGCATGCATGATTGGCTCACTGAATATAAACACAAACTCCGATCGATCCTGTACAAACTCGCGACACTGTTTTGTTTACGGTTGATTCGATAGGTGCTTTTCTCTGCCTGTCTTCTGGTCGAGTTATTCCACTCCCCTTTCTGCAATCCTCACAAAGTTTGATTTGTTTTCCCCAGCTGATCTCTTCCTTTTCTTTTTTAATATACTACCTCCATCCTGAAATAAATTAATTTTTCACCCATACATATCAATATACGAAGGAAAAAACTGAAATATCCTTCACTTTATCAAATATTTGCTACTAAGTTTTTAGGAACAAATAAATTGAAGAAAGAAGTAATTTTGGTATGAAGAAAATAGTTACTACTCAGTAATGTACACCAAATACGGTTGGAATTTCATATAGACAAGCCAATGCAGCAAGTAGCCATGAATGTGTGTTTGGATACATGCAATATGACGGTATTGTATTTTGTTTTCGTTGCATATTTCATTTATTTCTTCGAGTAAATTGGAACCATGCCATTATAATTTTCCCTTCTTCATTAGGAGTATAGCTGATAGCAAGAGTAGCAAGCAGAAGATTCTTGTAGCCATGTGTTTATGCAGCCGAACGGCTACGCTGTACAGCACAGCTTAAAACGCTGTAACAAAGGTCTACCGAACAGGTCCCATGATTACATGAGTATATTAGTTTCTTTGATTAAATTAAGTGGAGTTATTTTGAGACGGAGTTAGCATAACATTTCTTTGAACACACCCGAAACTTGTTACCCTCTACTCCCTGTGTATCAGTTTGGATAGTTCCTATGAGTATAACCACGGGATCCCCGTGAAACTTCAGTTAACCGTAGCTTCAGCCCTGGTACTGATAGCAGGAGCAGCTAGCCGGAGTAGCTAGAGCTTTCATACTGCCTTTCTTCAGTCACCGTTTGCCTGTCTTCCAGTTTCCATGTGGTGCCACAGAGATGTTGTCCACTCCTCTCCCTATCATGCAAAACAAGAAGCACTTGATGGCTGAACTGAAGTTATACACAAGCTCTCTTGCAGTTGCAGCTCACAACACATTCAATTCGCACACCTCTCTCAATCTCTCTCTCTCTCTCTCTCATGTAGAGAGAGAGAGAAGGCTGCAGGAGGGCATGCAGAACAGAGCAGGCCCTTAATAGGAAGAACCTAAGTTCCTTAGGGACAGATAGGTACAGGGGAGGAAAGGGGGAAGAGAGAGACAAGTTTCTATAGGGCAATCATGCTCCTCTTTCTGATCACTGCAAGAAGAGAAGAGGAGAGGAGATCACCGAGAAGATATCACAAGGTGTCCATCCGGGCACAGCCATGGATGCATGTGTTGTTCTGTGTCCTTCTGTTGGAAAGCAAGAACCAGCGTGCCCTTTGTCTCTCTAGCTGCTTGCTGCTTGAATTGCCATGGACACAAAATTGCACCATTGATATGGAGTGAAAAGGGCTATGAGATGAGATGGGATCAGGGAGTAGGTTCTTCTCTTGACTGACTCGGCGTTTCCCATTCTGTAGAGATTCGTCATACTCCTCCATGGTGAACCAACCGGTTGATCGATCTCTCATCTCTCCTCATGTGATCTGCTGCACTGCACAACAGGGGCCGGGGTTCAGTTCAAGTCAAGAGTTATGGCGAGGTAGCTGGCTGGAATTGCTGCTAGCTAGTATACTAGGGTTCATGCATGCATTCTTGTGAACTGTGGCGGTCACTATGTGAACTGTAGCGGTCACTGTGCCGGGGCGGCGCGTGCCGTGGACATGCTTGTATGAGGCTGTGTTGAGATACAGACATTGGATCCAAACTTCGGTTCTTTTCCATCACATCAACCTTTCATACATACATAACTTTTCAGTCACATCATTTCTAATTTTAACCAAAATCTAAACTTTGCGCTGAACTAAACACAGCCTGAGTATAGGCACGAATAAATTGTAGGAGTTTCCAATCACTCCAAATAAAACCGTGAATGCAAATTAAAAGAATGGATACATTTTCCCCTTTATGCTCCCGTCAATTGATCACTTGCCACACGTTCACAGAGTGAGTATAATATGTAAACTGTTACCCCACTCAATTGAATTGATATTGAATTAGAAGAGAGAGAAGAGATCACAAAGCCGGATGCAGCACAAGGTACAACAGACGTTACAAGATAAAGAGATATGCCGTACTAAAGGTTGTTGTGGAATGAGCGGAACCCTAGGGTTTTCTATTCCTCGCTCTCGCCGGTGTTAGTGGTTCTCAAATCCATCCTGCAGGAAGGCCGGCTCTGGTCATCGGCGGGTACCGCTTTGTTTGGGGGCCTACTAGGAGCTTAGTGGGGTTCCCTCCACCACAATCTCCCTCTATATGGGAGCAGCTTCTCTCTTGTAGTTTAATCTCAGTAGTCTTTTAGTTTTTCACTTATTTTTCATGTCCCCCGGCGATGACCTTTTTGGTTGTTGCGTTGTGTACTTGAAACTCTGCTTTTTTCTAATATATTGATGTGCAATCTATTTGTAATAGGATGTGTCACATCCACCTAAAATCCCTTATATTATGGGACGGAGGGAGTATTTAGCATGGTTGCATTCCCAACACACACTTTCATAAGAGAGTTTTTTTAGTTAAAATATTTGTAATATTCAATATGGAAGCTTGAGTTCACAATTGAAAAGTTTCATGTGATCTAAGGCATTGTTTAGTTCCCTTCAAACTTCTAAAAATTACGTCACATCAAATATTTGGACACATGCATAGAGTATTAAATGTGGACGAAAAAAAATCAATTACACAGTTTGCATGTAAATTGCGAGATGAATCTTTTGAGCATAATTACGCCATGATTTGACAATGTGATGCTACAGTAAACATTGCTAATGACAAATTAATTAGGCTTAATAAATTCGTCTTGCAGTTTATAGGCGGAGTATGTAATTTGTTTTGTTATTAGTCTATGTTTAATACTTCAAAATATGTGTCCGTATACTTAAAAAAAAATTTGGCACACGAACTAACACAGCCTAACTTGAAAGCTTTGGTTGAAACTTGAAAGTGCTAAAGTGTGTGCTGGCAATTCGTCTGCACGTACTAAATTGCAATTCTCTTGTTATAGCTAGGAGTATGGTTATACCAGCAAACATAATTTAGCCTTTTGATGAGGAGCACCTATATATAGTACCACATTCCGAGTACCTTTAGGATAATCTATATTGAAAATATCCTAATACTAGTATTATCAGTACTAGTAAAAAATCTTAATTGTTGATTTATGAGTTTTACAAATAAAAGATAAAATATTTTACAGCAATTAAGTGGTAATAGTATAAATAGATACTACAATCCATAATACGATCAATTAAAATTAATTATACTACTAATCATAAAGATCATTGTAAAACATCTCCAGTTCGGCTGTATTTAAATCCAAAGTTTGGATCAAACTTCAGTCTTTTTCCATCACATCAATCTGTCATACACACAACTTACATCATCTCTAATTTTAACTAAAATCCAAACTTTGCGCTGAACTAAACACAGCCTTCATATACATCGACCACACTGAAGTTCATCAAAACCGTACGTTCGTCAAATTTAAGAAACATAAAACAGAGGATATATGCACCACTGCATGTAAGGCAATTGCACAGAAAACCTTGTGCTAGCTGGATCGTATGCTACAGTAGACTGCGTAGGATGCATTGGTACTGAAAAAAAGTTTTGTTCAGAATGCATGCAACCGCGCGCCTACCAGCAGTCTATTGTGTCCATGAACCAATCATGACAGAATATCCTCGCGTTCCCGAGGGAGAAAAATCGAACTGAATGAAGCTAGAGTTTACACGAAATTCGAATAAAATAATCCAAATGAACTAGGAGTATATGTGCATTCATATGTGTATTTGGTTTCCTTCTAATATACTCCATCCGTTTTATAATAGTCATAATAAAAAAAAATTAGATGTATATGACACATCCATCCAAAATCTCTTATATTATGAGATAGAGGGAGTAACACCACGTAAATCCATCTTATGTCGTTACAAACACCCTTTTATTCTTATAAGTAGTTAAAATAAAACCCGTATTTTAAAAGTTTTAGAGGGTGTCTCGTAAAGACCTGTTTTTGCGTGTGGTTGTGATGTCGCGCGCGCCTAAAAATTGTTTCAACTGTTTACAGATATTTGGGGATAGACGGTTGCTACATCCATATATGAAAAATACATTTTAGCTGTTTGCAAAGACTTTCTGTAGTAATGTGAGAGTTCAAAAAAGAATATGGGTATTTGGTACATGGAGTATAGAAGTCAGCTAAACCTCTATCTTTCTTTCCCCTGCGTACCAGGCTACCAGTAGCTTACATTTCTTCTTTGTAATTTCTCTCATCAAAATGCAAGGTTGAAAAGGCTATATACCTACTAGCTAATAGTATCTCTCAAGATCAAAACATTGTCGAATCACGGATCAAAATAACGTCAGATTTCACCATTCAAACGCAGTACTGAGGCTATGTTTAGATGCTACCCTAAAATTTTTCATCATATTATATCAAACGTTTGAACACCTGTATGAAGTATTAAATACATGCTAAAAAATAACTAATTGCACATATTGCGACTAATTTGCGAGACGAATCTTTTAAGCTTAATGACGGATTAATTAGGCTTAATAAATTCATCTCACGGTTTACTGATGGATTCCGTAATTTTTTTTGTTATTAGACTATGTTTAATACTTTAAATGTGTATTCGTATATCCGATTTTCGATGTGACACGGTAACAAATTTTACCCTTGGATCTAAACACAGCTATAAAGCACCGGACGAACTGGATTATTTTCCCTGTCAATCTGATCGACACACACCTCTCATAACGTAACATTATTCACAGAGAACTGAAAACACAGGCAAGTTTGAAGAAGCAACATGGTACCAACTCTCACATCACAACCACAAACCATGCCACCACCATGGTTGCCTCCAAATACAGCTCAATGAAAGCATCAACATGCATGCTCTCTCTCTCTCTCTCTCTGTGTATGATGAGAGAGAAGGCTTGCAGCTTAGCTAAGGATCGGAGAGGAGAGGAGAGGAGGAAGAAGCGATTGCCATAAGGAGGCGCCTGCATGGTAGTACGCCCCCTTGCGTAGTCCCCACATGCCTCTCTTCCTTCTCCTACCTCGTGTGTCAACTTCACTTGTCCATCTCCAAAAGATATCCATGATTCTCCCTCAGAGCGCCCCAACCTATATCACCCCCCCTACCTTCCATAGCTCCCCTTCCCTAGCTACCTTCACTCCATCCTTCTCTCCTCCTTATAAACCCTCATGTCCCTCCTCCACCCAGTCCAAGGCCACAAGCCCTTTCTTCCTCTTCATCTTGATCTTGATCCTCTTCTTGATCTTCTACTTCTTCTTCTTGGTTTCACTTGGCATCCGTTTCCATGGATCACATGCAGCAGCAGCAGCGGCAGCAGGTGGGTGGAGGGGGAGGAGAGGAGGTGGCGGGGAGGGGTGGTGTGCCGGTGTGCCGGCCGAGCGGGACGAGGTGGACGCCGACGACGGAGCAGATCAAGATCCTGCGGGAGCTGTACTACAGCTGCGGCATCAGGTCGCCCAACTCGGAGCAGATCCAGCGGATCGCCGCCATGCTGCGCCAGTACGGCCGCATCGAGGGCAAGAACGTCTTCTACTGGTTCCAGAACCACAAGGCCCGCGAGCGCCAGAAGAAGCGCCTCACCACGCTCGACGTCACCACCACCACCGCCGCCGCCGCCGACGCCGACGCCAGCCACCTCGCCGTCCTCTCCCTCTCGCCTACAGCAGCTGGTACGTTGCTGCGTCATGGCTAATTCCGATCGCTGCTTCCCTGCTAAGCTGTAATGCGCGAGCCGGCGCCGAGCCGCCGATCGATGCTTCTGCGTGTGCAGGCGCGACGGCTCCCTCTTTCCCGGGCTTCTACGTCGGCAATGGCGGCGCCGTGCAGACGGATCAGGCCAACGTCGTCAACTGGGACTGCACCGCCATGGCAGCCGAGAAAACCTTCCTGCAGGTATGATCACACGTACTACTACCTCCTCCAGGTGTGTGTGAATTCACCATGCAAGAGCAAGCTAATGTGCAATGCTGCAGGACTACATGGGCGTGAGCGGCGTCGGTTGCGCCGCCGGGGCGGCCCCGACGCCGTGGGCGATGACGACGACGACTCGCGAGCCCGAGACGCTTCCACTCTTCCCAGTCGTCTTCGTCGGCGGCGACGGCGCGCATCGTCACGCCGTCCACGGCGGTTTCCCGTCCAACTTCCAGCGCTGGGGTTCTGCTGCTGCTACCTCCAACACCATTACGGTCCAGCAGCATTTGCAGCAGCACAACTTTTACAGCAGCAGCAGCAGCCAGCTGCACAGCCAGGATGGGCCGGCAGCAGGCACATCCCTGGAGCTCACTCTCAGCTCCTACTACTGCTCATGCTCACCTTACCCTGCAGGGTCCATGTGATAGAGCTGTTTTGCCTTCATGCCATGATGCCAACTGCTTGATGAGAAGAACAGTGTGAGTGTTTCTGATTGAGAGAGCAATGGTGTCCATGTCCTAGCTACTAGAGAGCTTAGCTAGAAGGAAGCATATATAGAAGCATGTCTGAAAGATACTATATTTATATAGCTAGGGAGTATGCAGCATTATAACATGCATGCTGCCTGTAGAATGCAGTGGTCCTCAACTGGTAGTGCACTGCATGCTAAGTTGCTACTACTAACTACACTAGTGGCTGGCTGGTTGTGATGTGTTTGGGCACAGTTGTGTCAAACTTGTCTCTCCCTTTGATGGCTTCCAGCTGAAGGAAAAAAGTTATCTATATCTCTCTGTCTGTCTGCTGTTTACTACTGCCTGGTTGCTCATGCTCATCACCTGTTGAGATTTTTCTCATTCCTTTTTTCAGCAGGAGTATAATTTTCGCTTTTTGTACTGCCAGTTTCTTGTTTCAGAATTCCATGTATAGTAGCAAGCCTGGGACCACTTTGGTTGAACTTGAATTGTTGGCTAGTGTTAGGAAATGGTCAGCCTTTCCAGTGTGATCATCACATTTACTTCTGCAGTGTTGGAAATGCTCTCGCCTGCTCACGTACACACATTCTCGCTTTATGCCTTTTTCATATCTGATGATCAGACAAAGCATATCGTCGCAATAGCTGTTAGCACAGTGAAGAAATGCAAGTTTTTCTTCGATAGAGATATTAAGAGAAAACTTATATATATATTTTTTGTTCGATAGAGATATTGTACTATATACTATGACCCTATGAGCTGCGATTATAAAAAATGAAAATGATCCTGAACATTTCAGAGCTTTCTGAAACAAACAAACAAAAAGTATAGTAGGAGTTCACTCATAGATTAATTACTTACAAAGCCTAAGAAGCATTCACAACCTAATTACTTGAACTGAGAGCATCATTTTTAAGATCAAACATAGCTGAGGAATTGGTTCCATAATATTACCCCCTCAAAAGATAGTACAAGTGAAAGATGTATTACCACGCCTAAGTCCTAACTACTGAAAACTTACATGACTGAAAGTAGCTACAATATAAGAACATATGAAACGCTTGCACGATCTGCTCTTGGTTCTAAAAAAAAAAGATATTACAGCTCTTTTCCAGCTGAGATTATCGAAGAATTTCAGAACAATGGTTTCATGCTACATGCTTCCCTCATGTCAATAGAACTGAAGGTTGGCCACCTCTTTGTCTCTGATGTGACCATGCTGCTCCCCAACACCAGCTCAAATAAACAAGATGGGATCACATTTTCCTATGAAGACCATGGAAAAAGCGGTGTTTTCTTCTTCTTGAGTGCTTTCGATATACCCTGGACATAACGTGCGGCGAGAAATAAACCTAGATTGACAGAACATAGAGATGAAGTCAAACAGATGTGTGCAGTATCCTCAACTGTGCACACTTTGTAAGTAATATAATAAGTATTACTAGTAAGTAATATCCTCAAACAGATGTGTGCCATGTAGGTTAAACTGTGTCATATCATCAAATAAGACAGGCGCTCAAATTTTGTACTAGAATGCAAAAAGAAAAGAGAAACAGAAAATAAAGGATATAACTCCCAACAAGCATATGTGATTAAAAACATTTAACAGAAAATTGACGAACATTATGGTTAATTAAAGCGGATATACTCTGGTATTCTTCAATAAAAGAACTACCTTGGAGTTATTACAAATGCCATTAGACGAAAGCACGGAATTGTCATCTATCAACTTCTCATTTTGATGTGTCAGACAGTAGTTATCCCAAATATGCTTCCTGGAACAAAGAGAACTAATATTACAGAGGGCATACATAACAATAAAAATGCATAAATCAGATTTCAGATGTTCACAATATCCTTAACGGTGGGAGATATCGACAAACAACATGTCCGTGCATTTCAGTTACTATGTGTAGGGAACAGATGGAAACATGGAGTTTGCGGAACGGATTCAGATGAATTATGAAACAAAGAGATCGATGAACATCTAGCTCACATATAACGTATTCTGTGGGCTGTGGCTCAAACCTGAAGCAAACAAAGAGTCAGCCTATTCAGGATAACGTATAACTCTTATATCAGCTATTCTGTGGGCTGTGGCTCAAACCTGAAGCTAAGTTTCTGGCTAAGGCTGTGTTAGCATCAGGGAGACAGAATCTCAAACTAGTTCTATGGCTACAATTTCAACACAACATGTTATTTCGTTGCTTCCTTTAAAATAAAACGCATTATTTTGTTGTCACTAGTCATCTGGTAATGCAAATGCTCTGGTTGTACAGAAGTAACAAAAGTTACTCCTTCCATAATTTATAGTTTAGCTTAACAAACAGCCATACTTGATTCCAGGGATTGAACTTACCCCCAGCATGTCAGGCACCATATATGCAAATTTAGTGGTAGTAGTGTTGGGATCTCTTTCCAGTGATCACTACTTGCTAGGTAAAAGAAATGCACAAGCATAATCAGCAGAGAAGTGTGATCCTTGACAGGGTAGGACAACAGGACTGAAGCTTCCTAAAATTAAGGAAATATGATTATACCTGTGAAGGGATCTGATAGTTCTTGAAAAAAAGCCATAAAGAAAAATAGAAACCTAGAAGGATCAGCACGATCATGATTATAATTTACTTAGTTTCAACTGACAAGTAATAAGATATGGAGGACCTGTCTATAACCTCAACTAAATGGGCTTCACTCATTATGCATACAGATTCAGGCCTACAAAAGTTGAGCTCACCAATTTGCTGTAAGATCAACTCAAAATCAAAACAAATTTCAGCTTGGGTTCATATGGGGTTTGAGCTAAGCTGCAACCCTACAAGGCTGCAACTCAAATCAATCTCATATATCCTGTGACTCTCACTCTTTCAGCATATATACCCCATGACATCCTTATGCACAATACCTCTGGATTGATCAATACGTTGCTCTAGTCTCCCTTGTAGGAGATGCTAGACAGCGAAATTACATTGCAAATGTTTCAAAGATCATTTAGTGATCAGGACAAATAAGGTTACCATGAGTGAAAGTAAATGGTATTCATCGCAGGATATCATCCACCGTAGAAAGGAGAAACAATTTGCAATCATCACATTGTTTAAAGAGATGTGGGCTTTACCATGAGATATGACGATGGCCCATCTTTTCCTGTTCAATCTCATCCGTCTTCTTCCTGATAGCCATCTTCAAATCCTTGACAGTGGCTGTGTTCAACATTGCAACATCTTTCACACACACAAAGAAGACATTAAAACGTCATACGATTTATGCAATCTACTAGTAGATGCAAATTAACCAAACAGGCAGTGAAATGTGGCATTCGAAGGGACCAGTACCGAAGGAGGTGCCATCCAGCTTGACGACGGTTAGCCGCATGGCGCTGCCGAGCTCGAGGTTGATCAGCGTGTCGACGTCGGCGAGGGAGGGCTTCCTGGGCACGTCGGCGAGTATGGGGTCGTCGAGGAGGGCGGCGAGCATGGACTGTAGCTTCGCCTGCTTGGCCTCGCTGCTCTGGTAAGCCGCAACCTCCTCCGGCTTCGTAGAGACCGAATCCGTCGCCTCCTCCTCCGCCGCAGAGAACGATTTCCCGGGGTCCATTGCGTTTCCGCCGCCGCCGCCGCCGCCGTGGAGGACGAACTCTCGCCGGCCAGTGCTAGTTGGGCCACGAGCGTGTGGCCCATTGTAATTAATTGGGCCGTAGCGTTATTCCTGCGGCTGCGCGTTCCAGCCGTTGGATTGGATTCTTGAGCAATCTGGACGGAGATCCTCTCGTTTGATCTGTCTCTCTTCCGCTCCAAATCCCCCAAACCCTTCGTCTCCGCCGCCGCCGGAATCGGGCCTCGCCATCGGAGTGGCGGCGAGGAGTTGAAGGCCACCGACCGCCGGCTTCGACCACGCCGCCTCGTCCTCGTCGGATCCGCGACCAGAACGCCGCCACCTCGTCGTCGGTTCCTTCGCGCAGATCGCCGCCGCGTCTCATACTCTTCGGTATAGCAAGCAAGCTCTCAACGCCTCTTTTTTTGGGTTCCCTAATCTCAATCTGCTGCTTGGATTGCTGAATTAGTGAATAATGCTGGGCTTCGATGGTGGATTTTCTGTCGGTTGTCGGCTACGGGGCTGATCCAGCCCCGTTGCCATCCCCGGGGAGGGACGCGCCGAGTAGAGCAGCTTGCGAAGTGGTTGCGGCCTTGCGGGGAGGGACACCGAGCAGAGCGTTCTTGCTTGCTGGTTGGGCTGCCAATCTCTGGCTATCCGTGATCTTTGATCCATGAGATTCTGTTGCTATTCCTTCACATGGAGGTTTGTGTTGTACTTTGGGCGAATTCGGATGGATGTTGGATTAGGCAGGGTTTTAGAGAGCTTGGGTTAAGAATCCTGCTTACTGATGCACAATAGAATTAAGGTGGGGATTAGAATTTGCTAAGCTGAAGGTTTGAGATCAGGGGGCCAGCACTGCTCCTTGGTTAGCTTGTTAATTTGATGATGAACTACTAGTGATCCTGTAGCATGCATCTCTGTTTTGCTCTGTATACTCTTGTTAGTGTGATTGCAAGGTGGTTTTCTTTTGCTACTGGGCAGTGTACTGTTGATTCAAACCAACTCATGTTCAGGCCACCTTTAGCTGCTACCCCGTTGTTTAAGTCATCCCCTCCTCATGTCCAGGTTGCTCCCAGTCCGCAGCCACCTCTTCCTCCTCACTGCATTGTGTTCCCTAGGTGACCTTAGGCCTTCCTTGCTGCTACCTCCACCTGTCTCTGATCCCGAGTCCTGACCACCCCCTTCCTCCTTGCATTGCCATGACACTCTTTTGAGATCATTGGCTGCATGTACATTTCTGTCTTTGGCTTTGGTGCAGCTTATCAGTAAATTCGCATGCCAAACTTGGTGGTTGCATATTGCAGCACTAGAGTCGATGGAATGACCTGGTGACAGTATGGTTAACTATATTTTAAGGTCTAACAAAACGGAGTGGTCCTATATCTAGCAGTTTCTTTCAGTTAGTAACCCATTTGTTCAACCATGAGTATTTATTGTTTTAGAAATTGTTCTGTTGATGTGCCTGTTAAGTTCTTCACTGGAAAGTCTGTAATCAGCATTGCTTCTCTTACACATACTATGCCCAAAGATCATAGAGTTGTTCGACCAACAGCTGAATAGTATACAAATGGATTTTTTTTTCTGCTTGTTTTTTCTGTTAGTGATGGACCAGCATTGCTTGTTTCTGATATATATTTGCATTCTGCTATGGTTCCACAGGTTAGCATTCGACAGCCATGGCAAAGCATCATCCTGATCTCATCATGTGCAGGAAGCAGCCTGGCATTGCTATTGGTCGTTTGTGCGAGAAATGTGATGGCAAGTGTGTCATCTGTGACTCGTATGTGCGCCCATGTACGCTTGTCCGAGTCTGTGATGAGTGCAACTATGGTTCCTTCCAGGGGAGGTGTGTCATCTGTGGGGGGGTCGGCATCTCAGATGCCTACTACTGCAAGGAGTGCACTCAGCAGGAAAAGGACCGAGATGGATGTCCCAAGATTGTCAATCTTGGAAGCGCCAAGACCGATCTCTTCTATGAACGAAAGAAGTATGGTTTTAAGAAGAGATGATCAGGAAGTTGGATTTGTCTGGTCCATTTCCTCGCTGTGTTTTCAGTCGCACTGATATGGTTGTTAAGGACTTAAGGCGGACATCTTTGTATTCTATGGAATATGGTCTAGATTCTTAAGGCTGCATGTGCAGTACGTACCTGATGTTAATGACCATGATTGTTGACATGAGATGTGAACCGAGATACTTTTAAGTCTTATAATTATGTAAGCCACTGATTGTAGGGAATAAGTGAATGCTTTAGCTGTTCGAACGACCTGATATGGTTATCAACTGGGAAGCAATGATACTTATCTAGGAGCTGAGATGCAGCTGAGGTTAGGATACAGGTTGTTGAAGTCAGGATAAATGTTGTTGAAGTCAGGATACAGGTTGCTAGGAATACCAACCTAACTCAAAATATATCCTTCAGTCATTATCCTCGTTGGATGGATGACAGAGTTCTTATCTGAAACGTCTCCTGAAACACTGATCTAATCCATTTTAAAACAACACGACGAGACGGTCACCAGAGTCCATGATTGAGTTCAAGAACGAAACCGTCAGGCACATGACCTGCCTCCGTCACGGACAAGGGTAACATGGTAAACACGCAAAGCGTTGCCTAGAAGATCCGGAGAAGTTTTTTTTTAAAAGAATAAACCGCTAAACTAAGCAGCCCAAAATAGCGCGGAAAGAGAGCAGAAATTACAAAAAAAAAAAAGAGAGAGAGAAAAGAAAAGCAAATCGACGCGAAGAAATAAGGGCAAAGCCGCCGACGCGAGAGCCAGCCCATCCGCCTCACCACCTCCCGTCCCTCTTCCGCTCCAAATCCAACCCTCCCCTCGGCCGCTCCGCTTGCGCCGCCGCCGCCGCCACCGGAGCGACGGCGAGGGAGGGAGTGGGGAGAAGCAGGAGGAAACCCCAAACCGTCCCGATCTCGGGGTCGGGAACCCGCCGCCGGCTTTTCCGCTCGTTCGTCCGTCCGTCGATCGCCCGCCCCACCCTATCTAGGGTTTCCCGCGCTGTAGATCGGATCGGTTCGGATTGGTTGCTTGGGTTTGGAGAGTAATGATGGGGTCGAGGCGATCCAGGCGCGTTTCATGGGCCTCCGGAGGCAATCTCTGCAAGGTACTGTGATAAAAACTTGCCACCGCCACGGCGAGGAGACGGATTCGCTTATCCTGTATCTCCCAGTTTTGTTGCGGAGATTTGCATCGTCTCCGTGCAGTGCATTCGTTGGAGATTGTTTTGCTCTGCTAGCTCGCTTTCTACCCTTGATTTGCTTTTTGATTTAGTCGCCTTTTGTTCAAACTCCGCGAAAAATACGATCAAATACGATCTCTCAATTTTTTTTCAGTGGTAAATGTGTGAATGCTTACAAAAAAAACGAACATGCTATTCTCAGTTTGCAAATCCATGAGCAGAAGAATCGACTGAGATGGATTTCATTCTGCCAATGATGCAGAATTTCTATGCTGAATTTGCAGCGAAAAAAAGATGGGGGAACCCCCAGCAAATATCAGTACCGAACCACAATTAATACGCAGATAATGAAACAAAAAGGACGATAACAACATGATACCTGGTGCATGTAAACTATCATTCTTTTGGGGAATATGTCCCATTGGTGTATCATTCTTTTGGGGACAAAATATGTCCCATCGGTGAAGCAAGATTTAGCCATTTGATCTTCATCTAGAAAATTATGTACCAAAGAATCTTTTTTTTTTCATATTCTTGAGTGGAAGGACTGCATGCTTTAAGATTCTATTCAAATTGTATAGCCAGATAATTTTAAATGGCATTTGTTCACAATTTTCGTCTTAGGTTTTTTATAATTTTTATTCCATAGGTCTATACCAACTTCTGTTAGTGTTCACATGTAATGCTGAATTTTATGCCCTAGCAGGCAGCAAGCACTGCCCTAAATATGAATGAATTTGGGGCTTAGATTTTCAATAGACACCGAATGAGTTTGGGGCTTAGATTTTCAATAGACACCGAATGAGATTGGGGCTTAGATTTTCAATAGACACCTGATGCAAAGCAGGTCATGTCTCTGACACATCAGTATGCATGATAGGACGTGTATTTGAGAAATGTCTCATTATTTACCCTCTATAACTCGAATACCATGAATTGTTTAGCTTGCAAAAAATGCTGGATTTTTTTTACTTTTTTTTTTACCTTTAATTGACTAGGCATTACATATATTTCAGAATTGTCATATATTGGGATGAAACACAAGCAATGTTAATTTGAAGCATGTGACTGTTGTCTAGGTTCAAATTGTTAACTTTTATATATTAAAACCTAATCTAAAGGATGTTCTAATGTGTTAATAGGATACAAACAAAAATAATTCAAAAGTATGGCTGTTTATGGTATAATATATTGGATTGTGCTTCATTTTGGGCTCAAGAATTGAACTGTAGCACTACACTCAATAGTAATGTAAACATTTAATCAGGATTGTGCTTCATTTTGGGATCAAGAATTGAACTGTAGCACTACACTTAAAAGTAATGTAAACATTTAATCAGGCTATCTCGCTTCGTCTCATTTTGACCATTTCCTGCCATTAATGACTCTAATAAACTTTGATGATTCAATTCAAAGTGTCCTATAGAACTTAATGACCAATATATCATTTTTAACATATTAAGCTATGTGGAGCTTATATCACTTGTTAACACATGACTTTAAAGGATGAAAGTAAGACATGAAACAAATATTCTATGAGTTATATGATTCATCTCAACCTTTTTTTGCTTTGAAGTACAAAGAGTGATCTCTAATTGATTCAGCAATTCACAATAATCTCTAATTTATTCAGCAATTCACAATAAGCTCATGAGATACTAAAGCATTTATTTCACCGAAACCAAGTAATCAGCATATGCAGTAAGCATCCTTCAAAGGCCACGTCTATATATATGTAATCACACATGCATGTTGCTTCCATGATTGTTATATCACCAGTATTTTTTTTAGTGATATCAATACCATGCTATGTTGTGATAAGTCCAGAGTCCAGAGTTGGCTCCTTGTTCCACTCATCCTTATGCTATGTTGTGATAAGTCCAGAGTTGACTCCTTGTTCCACTCATATCCTTTTTGTACGTATGGACGGATAACTGACAACCGTATGAAAGTGCATCCATATCACCAATACAACACTCCTTTTCCCCTTGCACGTGCACCTTTCTTTCTTCGTGCTATAATGGTATTCATTGTTGTTTTTTAAATGGATCAACAATGTGAACAAAATATTCCTACTGCCAATCCAGCTAATGAACAGCTAAATTGGTATTCATATCTTAAGTATCCTGTTTGTGAGATGACATGTTAGTTGCAGATTTACATAGGACTGAATGAAGTACTTTCCTCGAATCTTGATTGCTGGTGCCTGGTAGCTGATATGTTATGGACTGTGAAATCTAAGAAGTTAATATGGATTTGCATATACAACGTGTCAAATCATGTATATATTATCTGAAAGTTGATTTTAGCACTTCACATTGGCCTTGAGTGTTTAAATTGTACAGATTGCGGGAATAAAATTTGGCTGATGGTTTAGTAGTACTTTGAATAAATGATCAATAGTAAGATGGTATTAATTGTAAGAGATTTTTATTGGTGTTCTAGAATTTTGAAGGATGGTCATAGTCTTCTGTTAAGAAACATCTTAAAACTAGTCAGCAATTGTGTTTTGTGGATTCATACAAGCTGCAATCTGCCGGCTGTTAGAATGTATGTTAGGAAAATTAAAAGAATAAATAGTTGAACTGCTGAAGTAGCCCTGAAATGGCATTGAAGAGGAAGGGTTTAGTTCTTGTTTCTTTTCATCTTGTCTTGGATAGGCATATAAGATATATAAAAGTGGCATGAAGGTATTAAACAATCCTTTTATTTTACTGGATAATAAAGAATGGTTTTAACTATCCTGGAGGCAGGTAGGTGCTAAGCAAGTGATTGAACATTGGATGGAGTTCTTTCAAAAAAGAAAAAAGAACATTGGATAGAAACTAGCTCCTTGCTTTGTTTGAGGTTAATGTCTGTCACAAACTGTTATCATGCCTTAACATTGTGAACCCTCCTAAAAAAATTATTCTTTTTTGAGACTTCATTGAACTATACATTTTGGTAGTCAGCAGAAGATTAAATTTAATCTGAGCTGAAGTTTTTATCACCCAGCATTATAGCCCTTTTGATGATACGATGACCAAGTTCTTCAAATTTGTTATTTGGCTCACAGAATGCTTCATGATAGTGAATCATCTTATTGCCCATGTTCTTCGGACTTGATTGTCTCGTTTAATGTTTCTTGTGTCACTAAAGCATTGTAATAAATTATAAATACTGAACAACCTTGTATCATGTGTTTGTGTCAGGTAAGGCTTTTCCTGTCAGAGGATTCCCCCTCTCAAGCTGGATTAAGACCGCAGGATAATCTCCAAGCAAAAGGCTCATGGTTACTGCATGCAGCTGGCCCAAGCTCAGATGATTCCTTGCCTCCAGGCTTTGAGTCATTGCCGCCAAGCAATGACCTCAAAATTGACATGTCTCAAATCCCCCTAATTAGGTGGAAATGCCCCCCACATGTAAGGCTCACAGTTACTGTTGTGTTGGACAATAGCAAGACAAGTTCAAAGATTACTGAAATTCCCAACACTCTCTTGATTGCAGATAGTATTGGAGCAGGATTGGCATATTGTTGCTGGAGAAGAAAGTAGGGAGATTGAAATTCAAAATGAGAGAATAAATGGAGCGCTTGAGGCAATTTACCCACGTCCATCGAACATTCCGCCAAAGTAAGCAAGCTCCTTTTTTTTCATTACAAGTTCTTCAGATGTCACATACCATTTTTTATAATGATTTTTTTGTGTGCCAATCCAGCCCATTTCTTTCTCTTGATGTGAAAGATGCCCATTATGACGATTCCAAAACCCTGTTGGTTCCTTTGATCCCTCTTGAAGATGATGATGCATCTGATCAATTGGAAGGACCAACCCTTGATCTACCAAGCCATTACAACATAACAGGAGTTTCAAATACTCCTGTTTCCGCTGAGCAACAACCACCATGTGGTGGTGCTATAAGTTCTGGATTCACCATTGAGCCTCAGGCTGCAGTCTCAGCAACAGTCACTGCAATTATGCAAACCATACAGAGTAATCAAAATGGGAGCATGGCTGACCAAAACGGGAGCACGATTGACCAGGAACTACTCTTCAAAATACTAAGTGATCCTTCACAGCTTCAGAGGTTAATGAAAGAATGTGGCCCAGTCAGACATGAACAATCAGCTAGTAGTTCTGTTGTTGCCCCATTGGTATCAATCCCACCACCCCAAATAACTGCAAGCTCTCCTGCCCCCTTCTCTGATCATGTCGGAACCTTTCATGGCATGAATCCTACCCTGCCGCCTCCACCACCAATGATGAATCGGCCACCTTCAACCATTCCTTCAGTTGCTATGAATCATCCACCAAGTTCAAGCCCAGCAATGAACTTTGGAAGTGCCCTGCCAAGTTCAAGCCCATCAGTGAACTTTGGAAGTGTTCCAGGGAGGGGTGTCGGCTATTATAAAACCCTCATCCATCAGCATGGAGGGGAGAGACTGGAACAACCATTTGAGCAGCATGGAATGCAGTTTGGTATGTACCGCCAACCTGGTCCTCCACAAAATGGCGGTATTGATGCCATGAACGGTGCTGCTGCTATGGTGAGCAGAGATGGCAAGGTGAGGCCGATGAAACCGTGTGCATACTTTAACAGCCCGAAGGGTTGTCGAAATGGTGCTAGTTGCACATTCCTACATGATGCGTCAGCCCCAACAAGAAAAGATCATCAGAAGCAAAAGGGATCAAAAAGGATAAAATTAGACAACACAATGGGCGGTCGAAATTGAGCTGAAGCCGCCATTTAATTTTTGACTGTTCTTTGGTTCATCTATCATGGATCAGTAAATATTACTCCGTTAGCTCTTCCATTAGCCTCCTTTTTTATGTTCGTCGAGGAGAGGAGATGTTCTGAAAGAAAGCAAAATATTTCATGATTGATTGGTGCTCAAATTTTTACTGAATCAAGTTCGAGCTCGATATCTTGTTCTGAATTCACTAATTCTGTCTCTAGTTGTGACAGTCGGTTTGTCAGTGAAACGTCGCACTCTGCAAATACTAGTGCACGGATGAAGCGTAGTCTTCTTCGCATTCATTGTGCCAGTCTATTCTTAGGTGATTCGGTGATTTTTCGTGTATTGCTGCATGAATTACTAAGTAATTTTTAATATATTTTTTTACAACCAAGATAGAAGTAAAAAAGAAAAAATAATAAAATATAAGGTGTATCAGTACTTATCATGAAACAAACAAATGATAACCTAATATGAAACATATTGATAAATATATGTTAAACATTATAAAAATGATAGATAGATTTGTTAAAATATTATGCAAATGATGTGACGGGTGATGATTGGATATGTTTGTATGTTAATTTGTTGAATTAAATAAATTGTAGATGATGTTGTATGCTTGCATGAGGTTAAATATGTAATTATTGTTAGTGGGTGATGATGTAGCATGGTTACATGTTGAGTTTTAGACTTAGTGGGTTATAATTTTATAGATAGTATAGATACATACTCTTTTTCCATATTTCGCTAACTTGTAGTAAATTTATGATAAAACTATATCAACATCTATATAAAATGTGTGTTGATAATGTATTTTAGTTGTCGTTATAGGTGTTCATAGGTTTTTCTATAAATTTAGCTAAAATTAGAGAGATTTGACGTAGGATAAATCATATACTCATTCCGTCCCAAAACATAAGAAACTTGGACTGGAGGAGAGGAGATATTTCCTAGTTATACGAATCTTGACATACTGTAGATTCATACTATTATGAAATGTCTTATCCGATACTTAGTTATATTTTGGGACGGATAGAGTATGACACAACATTGCCTGATCGACCACCATTGGCGCGCCACCTAGTCAATCGTTTGAGCTCTCTCATCGTTGTCTTCTTAATTTTTCATTGGATCCTCCTCCTTTAATAAGAACGTGTTTTCGTTGGAGGGAATTGTTAATTCGAGGGTAGGGGTTCTTAATTACGTTGTTTGGATGGCGAAGTTTAAGAGTAAACTCTCACTTTTTCAATACCTAGGTAGGACATATAACTATGAGGGAATTTCGTCGTAAGTACGTTAAAGATAAATCTGAGCCGGACATCATCATAAAATTTAATTCTCACTCGAACTTTCCGTGATTCTCATCTCTACTACCAAATAAAGGATGATGAGAAAAATTGAAACTTTCATGACCAATCTTTCCACCAACTCTTAACATGTTGAGCATACTAAAAACTCAAGAATTTTGGATAGTTTTTTTTTTTTTGAAACAGTAGACGGTAGGAGTTCTACCGGATAATTTAGAAGAGAATTGACCCTATTTATAAGGAAAACTAGTCCCAAAAACCATACAACTGTACAGTTTGCTAAAGGGAAACCGACAAAACCTTACATTGAAAACATGAAAAACCTGTGACAAAACTACAAACCACAGTACACACCGAGGGAAGAGCAGGACCTTCAAGACGAAGCCTCCAAGGAGGTAAACAACGACAGAATCCGCTGTCGACACCCACCCAACTGAGCTGGGTTTTCACCCAAAAGGAGAGAGAGTCCACAAGGCAACACCTCCAAGGAGAAAACGGCGCCCGCAGGTGTCGATGTCGCCGATCTTAGGAGACCAGACTAGGCTTTCGTCTAAGACTTCCTCAAAAGGTGTAGAGCCTCTAGAAAATCAGAGCTGGAGTGTTGAATGTTATCGTTGCTCGGCCCAATGGCTGAATTCAATGCAACAGCTCCGACTCCATCGAAACATAAAGACTCTAGCATCGTAGAGGACAAGAATTTTGGATAGTCAATGGAGGATAACACGGCTTTGGAGAGAGGGGCTAATACGCATGTGTCCATGCACATTAGGCCCGTGAACATGTCGTGGCCCAATCCAAGTTCGAAAGCCCATGTGCATTCAGCCTACAACCACACGAGCATTCGACTTGGTTGAATTTTATTTTAAAATATAAACTTTTAGTATAGAAATTATATATATAAAAACTTTATGTGTAGAAACTTCGGTATAGAAATTTTATACATAGAACTTAGATGCAAAAACTTTGTACATAAAAGAATATTTGGTATAGAAGCTTTATACATGTATTTATGGATCAACCCGAGAAAGGAAATAGGAATGAACTAAAACCACACGCTAAGGAAGGAAATGAGCGCAAGTTGCGCAACCACCTGACCTAAGGCTATGATCTATAAATCTTTCCCAACTTCTCAACGGTGTAATTTTTAAAAAGAATTTAAAAAAATATTTATAGAAAAGTTTTTAAAAAATTATATTAATTTTTAATTTTTAAGCTAAGAATATTTAATTAATTATGCGCTAATCCGTCACATTGTTTCGCATGGGGAGGAATGGATTTGAACCCGCGTTTGCATGCCGAGCACCGTGTGGTGGTGTTGGCATTTCGTGCATTAGGAATTGGGACTGTCTGTATAACTTTGTGGGCCACATTTGGATCGTTGATGTCAGAAATTTAAATGGACTTTCCTCGCAAAAAATGCTTCAGTTCGTAACTCCATTTGATTTTGTTGGCCAGACATGATTGTGCGTCTCTTTGGACTGGGCCTAGCGGGTTCATTGGTTTGTTTTTTTTTCTTTCCCTGCGCACTGACACACGGGAGTAGAAGACAAAAGATAGAGCAAGTCAATTTCTTGTCGACAGAACCTCATACAGCGGTCAGGCATTTCTCACTCCACACCAACATGAACATCAATATTGGCAAATATAACAGACCGCTGTTGCATTACAAGTCAAGATATATTACACACACAAATCATTCATTCATTCATTACCAGTCAAATAACAACAAACCAAGAACCAACAAATGTACATTATAGGAAAGCTGTTGCTGTTCTTCTCCCAAGTTCCAACCATACCGAGTATTCCAACAAAGAATAAAAAAACTGACGAATTAGATGGTGGTGTGCGGTGGGAAAACAAGCACAAATCTGAGTCATCTCATCAAATGCTTCTATGGCACCTCGCTAAAAACTCTTGCTAGGCGCACTCATCATATATGCCATCTCCTATCTGCAAACCAGAAGTTCTTGTTTAGATATATGTGCATCATGGATGGAAATACAGTCTATCGTATTATTCTATACTGTTCAATAGATGGTAACACAAACATAGCAACAGCACTGGTAGATGATCATACTGAGCAAGCACAAAACCACACTGAAGAGAGTAAAAATATAAGTACATGATAATATTCAGGGATTAGTGCATTACCATTTATCAGTAATATAGCCAGTAATAAACTGAAAACAATGAACATTACATATAAAGGACGAAAATGTTCTGAGGCGACACTAAAAGCACCACTGAAGAGATCACAGGTCGCTGGGAATGTTCAGGGAAGGCGGATTACCGGTAATGCCCAAACACTACATTTCTATGTTCATCTTAATTTTAATGTTATGCAGTTCCCTGAAATAGCTTGTGTATGCAAGTGGGTGCTTCACAAAAGTGGACCTCACAAATTAGAGTAGAGTTTAATGACCTAAACTGCATATCGAGGCTACAAGATATTTGTTGCTACAGTGATCCAGAGAAAAACAGGTAATCATTACAAATCATCTTCGTAAACTAAGCTTTCAAGTGCAAACTGATCATACTAAGATCATAGGATGATAGTAGCAACTAGCAAAGGAATAGACTTGTGCGCACTTAGTCACTTACCAGATGAATTGGGAGGAACAGGAACAGCACCATTGCTTTTCACATTCTGCTGAGCTTGGGATGATGATCGTTGCATGCGAGGAGATGAATCTTGCTTACCGTTAGTCATGGGCAAAGAGTGCCTTTTCCTTGGATTGTTGTCTTGCACATCCGGGCTTAACTTTGGTGATACACTAGCAGATGCCTTTGCCCTTGCAGATTCTGTAAACTGCATATAACTTGGCAATGGAGTGCTGTTGCTTATGCGAGGTTCTTGATCAACATGATCAGATTTAACCTTGCCTGAGCTCTCTCGCCTCCCAAGTCTGTAATCCTTTGACAGATTATCCATGCTGCTCCGTCCCACAGAATCGCTGCTTGGACTAGTTAGTGATCTCTTGCTTACATGAGACTTGGGCCTTTTGCTCTTGCTTTTTTTGGTGTTAACAGAGACCTCACTTGATGGTGTCCCATGAGATTCAGCAAAGGTAGTTCGGCTCAAGGGAGTACCTTCAGGTGTCTTCACATAAGATCCTACAGATTTTTCCAGTTCATCATGTAAATCAGGCTTTTCCTGTCCCAGATGTGGTTGTTCAACAGGCACAGGATCAATTGCATTGGCAGCGATAGCAGTGTCATCAGTTTGTACTTCCTTTTCTGGCTCGATAGCTCCTCCAGAAGTGTTCACTTCAGAATGCAAAACACTGTTATCCTTTTCAGCATTATCACCAACATGGTTCCTATCTTCCAGGGATCCAATCTCCAGTACAATCTCGCCACCATCAGCTTCTGATCTATCCGGTGAGTCAAGTGTAGAGGAGATTGATATCTCAGTTCCACATTCTGAAGCAGCAACTACGATTTTAGGATCATGCCCCACTGAGCTCTCTGGTATGCTTGTGTCATTACTTTGCTTGGGTGAGACATTGTCTTGTGAACGAGGAGTATGTACCTTTGGTTTGTTTGCCCCATCCAGACTGTTGGACCTACTGACCGTCAAATTGGAAGTCAACTCTTCAAATTTTAACTGTGCAGCAGCAAATGCAGGATTGCATGACTTTCTAGCCATAAACTTTTTACCTTCCATCTCCGAAGTCTGCTCAGTTTTATATGCATCCATAGTATCATCAAAGGAAGATTCAGGTTTTTCAGGAAGAGGAATGGGTTCCCTTGATGTATCAGTTTGAGTAGATTGTTCAACTGAGACCTCCAAAGGTTGTTCCGCAACATTCTCAGTCTCCGGTTCAGTCAATTTTTCAACATCTTCCTTGAACTTTTCAATCAAATCTGGTTCAGGAACATCTTCAATTTCCATTCCAGAAGTTCTATCTGGAATGCATGCAGAAACCTCCAGGGGATGAGAATCAGATGGCCTTAGTGTCTCTTCCGCATCATCAGGCACCAACTTCAGGAAAGAGATGTCAGAATCCAAAGGAAGGGTATTTTCCTCATGTTGAGCATCTCCTTTTATTTTCTCATCCACCGACTCGTTATTCTCTCTATCCTCTAGCAAGTGTCCCCCAGTGTTTGGTGGAATCATGGATGTCCATCTCTCCATCCATTTCCATGCAACATCAGGTTCAGAAGGATCACATTTTATGTGAATGGATTTTGAAGTCGACATGCTGTCCATGAGCTGACAGAAGGTAACAAACATGAGAAAATCCAACCAAGAACTAACGTATGATAATCTTAGTTAATAAGGGTTCTTTCATCTAACCTTCAGAGCAAATCCATTATTGAGTAATTTCTCACTTGAAGAACAGATCAAAGAGTCCTGCAAAAAGAAATGTAAAATCATGAACAAACAAGCAAAATGTTCAAGCAAGGCTACTATTCAGTATTGTCACACAGAAACAAGAATTATATACGTGTTAAGTGCAGCAGATAAGGTTTTGATCCAAAATTAATGATTGTGCGTGCATGGAATTCAACATCGAGATGCGAGATATCCAATCAATGTAGCAACTAAAGTGGATTGCCTCCGCACATACTAAACCTTAAGATCAATTGCCAACAAGAGGTTGACAGCTTTCAGGTTACTAGAAGAAGGAACTTGGCGAAGGAAGGATAAGAAGATCATAGACTTCACATAGCATATTAAACTTATATTGAATAATATTAAACCAAGCTTAACTGACTGGCAGCAAAAGAGTTTATACTGTCTAGATACAATGATACCATACGTGTCTAAATGAGAGTGCCTTGAATACCTGAAACTTTCCTCCATATTGCTGTGCTTGATGAACCCGGACAAGTCCTTGCATTTTAACAATAGCAAGCAAGCATTGTAATGATTCTGCAGCCTGCCTCCTAACAAGATGCCCACGTATCACAGCTTGCAGTTTCACAAGGTCCTTATCATTTGGTAGTTCTTGCTCTTCCTATAGTCATGTAAATGACAATAATGTAATAACACTAACAGAAAAATAATTAATAAATATAAATAGTGGGAAATACTGCAACATACAGTGTGCACTCTGATGCCAGACTGAATGACAGCAGCAGCAGTCTCCGCACAATCTTCCTGATGGTCTTCACTGCTTCCATCAAAGAGAGAGACGGTTTCCTCCTGCTTCACCTCAGTTGATGAAACAAAAATACTTTCATCCGTCTTATCAGTGTGTTCCTCAACATCATTATCATTTGGCTTTACTATTGGAGTTTCAGTTACCCTTTCAGTTGGTTCTTGGATTGGCACTTCAGTTACTCTTTCAGCTGGCTGCTCAATTGACCTTTCAGTTATCTGGTCAGCTGACTTTTCAATTGGTTCATCAGCTGGCTTTTCAATTGATTCATCACCTGGCTGATCAATTGGCTTCTCTATCAGTTTTTCATCAGGCATCTCTTCATTCAAAGGCCCCTCATCTGGTTTATCTTGCTGCAAAATTTTCTCGTCCGGTTTCTCTTGCTGCAGAATTTTCTCAGCTGGTTCGTCTTGCTGCAGAATTTTCTCATCTGATTTCTCTTGCTGCAGAATTTTCTCATCTGGTTTCTCTTGCTGTAGAGGTTTTTCTGAGGCATAGGAGTAAGTTGAAGAATAGATGTTGCTTGGAGCAATTTCAGCTTTTGCTTTGCTCGAACTAAGAGTTTCAGGTTCAGATATATCAGAATTCTTCAAAACACGATGCCTTGTAGACCTCCTACGAAAGCTCCACCTACTTTTATCTGATATGGCCTTGTTCTGTAAAAGCCAACATTTAACAGCCATTAGCATGATTCATCTACTTGATATAAGGAAGAGAAGACAGATATTCTGTGGTAGCTTTTTCACCCGAGACGAACTAGAAGAGATGTTACAAGCAAAATGCAGGTAATGAGGGCTAGTTTCGTGTATCTGAAATGTAGGCAACCAACATACTTCTCATTTAATGAAGCAAAATGTCGTTGACCAGGAAGGGAAACAACACAAAAAGAAAGGAAGTGGCAGATAAACTCTATTAGTTTTGAAATTAATGTACCAGTTCCTAATAAATCTCCCCAAAGTTTTCCTCGCAAAAAAAGACCCAAAGTTTGTTAATGCCTTACTGGCGTGATATATCCATCAATAATCAATTTATTTCCAAAAATACCAGTTCAGTAAATAAACTATAAAAGGAGGTAAGCTAACATGATTCAGGTAATACCTTGGTGAAATTATGCACTACTTAATCAGGAGTATTTTTAATTTGCCAACTTCTAATAATTGCAGGTGGAGGCATAGAATCCTAGCAAAAATACATTTGGTTTGCTGTCAGCTATCACCACTGATCCAGCAAGAAAAAATTTGTCCTTTTGCAATTATATCAATGAAAGAGAGCTAACTACTCTCTCTTTTCCCTGAACATCAAAAAGAGCTAACTACTCTCAGTCACTCACTATAGTTGGTACAGATCCTCTAGGCTGTCCCGTGAAAATTCCAGATCCCATTTCACCAACACTATGGTGCGGCTGTCTCCTACGATTAGAGGATTTTTCTCGATTCAACATAGAGATTTTATACGATGAGCGTCCAGCCAATTAGTGAAAAATGAGCTGCTCCAGAGTCCAGTGAACTCCTCCCCACACTGAGATTCTTGGTAGGGAAAAACAGTAATCAACAGCGCAACATTACAACCAAAGTGTCAAATCATGGGGGACAAGGCTAGCAACACTCAGCTCCGAGGAAGAGAATGACAGATGCCAATCATGCAACAAGACGAGAGACACCATACACAGTGAGTAGCACTTTGAGCAGCAGATAAACACCAGATCCCTTCCTGACATCTTGCATGGACTCAGGGCGGCAAGAGTAGCAGCCATAATATTCCAGCTGCTGCAGCTAGAGCCATGCAGCAACAGAAGAGAAGGGGTAAAAAAAAGGAAGGAAATTGAAATCAAAATTGAGCCTTTGAATGAACTCATAGGACGTGCGGGAACAGCACGGGATCACCAGCCAAAAAAAAAAAAAAGCTCTCATTTTGCTGGCTGCGTCTTGCTCGCCGCCACGAATCAACCCCAGATCTAACTAAAACAACACGCGCCCGCACCTCGACCCCACGCATCCCACTGAGATCTGCTGAAAACAAACGCACCAGCTCGAGAGAACCCCCCCAAAAGAACAAAAAAAAACGGCTTCGGCGAGCAAGGCCGGCGCGGCGGCGCATTCAAGCGGAGGTGCGGCGCGCGAGTACCTCGTCGACGTGGTCATCCGCGTCGCCGTCGGAGCCGGCGGACGGGTCGGATCCGCCGCCGGCGCAGGCGAGGATCTTGAGGCAGCCGTTCTTGGGCTTCGTCATCGGGGTCGCTTTCGCCGCCGCCGCTGCCGCCGCCGCCGCCGCGTCGGCCTCAGTCAGTGCAGCGCGTGCGTGCGTGCGTCTGGAGCGGAACAGGATAGGGAGCTGCGTTCCTCTGACTTGTTTCTTCTCTGGCTTTGCGTTGGTTTTGCTTTGCGTTTAGCTGCGGCTCTGCTTGTTTGCTTGCAGTTTTTATATTCCGGAGGATTCGGGCCCTCCGCTATCTCTACCTTGCCGCTGTTCCTTTCTCCTCCCTTTTTTTTTCCCCTTCTCCAATGCAGCTTTATATGCTTTGTTTATTTCTTTTCCTTTTATTAATTAAGGTTAATTAATTAATACGTAATTGAGGTTTTAAAAAAGTTTTGCGAGTGATTTTATATTTGTTTCTTTTACCTTTGCATTTCATCCGGGAGAAGATACACACGGAAGACGGTATACGCGCAAGACGGCGAGACACATAGTTTTCGTGATTGTACATACGCAAGAGTACTAGACACATGATATACGTGGGTATAGGATTTATAAGCCTCTAGTATATTAAGTCAGTAAATGGGTTATCATATGAGTGCTTAGATGTTCTATAGCCCAACCATATTGGATCTTTAAGGCCGTGTTCTAGCTTTCGAAGGGGTCAGAAACATCTTCCCCGTGCACATAAAACGGAGTGATATATTAACTCATGATTAAATAAGTATTAGCTATAAAAAAACTTAAAAATAGATTAATATGATTTTTTTAAGTAACTTTCCTATAGAATTTTTTTTATAAAACGCGTACCGTTTAATAGTTTGTAAAGCGTGCGCGTGGAAAATAAAGAAGATAAGTTGGGAAGAAAAGTACTCGTACTAAATAGGCCACTCAGGTTTTACATTTTCTTTTTTTCCCATCGAGAAGGATGTGTATGGGGGTTGGGATCATTTCCTCCCTAAGGGCAAGTATAATGGGAGGTTCTAAGTCGGCTAAATGCTCAAGTGGAGGAGAGATATGAGAAGCAGGCTGTAAACTTACATCTGGCTTGGACACAAGAACCAAAAAATTTTGTGAGAGAGGCAAGTGGGCCATATATATTAATTATAAATAGCTAACTATTGTATGTGTAGACTAAGAGAAGGCTGTAAAGAACCTTATATGCAACAATTCGGCTATATTATTAGCCTTGCTCTAATTGATCTGCACCTTGATTTGAGGGTTGGCAAGAGAGGAGAAGGGAATCGGTGAGAAGGTAATTCATAGATTTAAAAGATAGCGAGATAAATTCGACTTGTTTCTTAAAAATAACGCTAGCACGTGTGACACACCACATGACAATCTAATTTAATTGTGACAAAATTAGTCCCTCTAATTCCGTGGGACAGTGTCTCGTCGCTGCATAGCTCGATCTATTGGAATATACCGCAATATATGTGGGGAGTTAGCATCTCTCATTCGATCGTTGTCTTGTACCACATCACTCGTACCGTCCTTGGACCGACCATTAACAAGCCTAGGCCTAGGGGTGCAAACAAATGTTGTTCTTCTTCATGGCGCTGGTACCGTCCCGTCCGGCCACGATCCGGTCAGTTGTGATTGCAAGTCCACGGCGCCTTTAAGTTCGCAATAACAAGGCCATTAATGCAAGCAACAATCTAACTCCGACGAGCCTAGCCATGGCAAGAGCGTACTTTGGTGGGGCTTCCGTTTCTCCGGCCGCGGCCAGCCTATTGTTACCAAGTACAGTACACAGGTCAGCACTTGTTCTTCCCATAGTCGTTTTTACTCCTAAATTCTCAGTACTGATGCTACTATTAATTAATTGTAAAGCCGATCCTGACCCTGTCACTGTTGGTAAAGAGCGAGAGGCCAGCCAGCTGCATGCATGCGGCGAAGGCGATACCCCTGCAATTAAGCGGCTGGTAAGTACAGCGACCTTCGTAACCAACAAACGATCGAGATGACACGGTACCGGCACTAAATCGCGGCAAAAAACGGTACGGGCGTCGACGTGACGGCCCGGCGGAATGCTCGCGCGCGCGCGGCCGCGCGGGGCGGGGGCGAGCACGAGAAAGTGCGTGGCCGCATGCGGCCGCGGTTGCTGCTTGCATTGGGCGGCGTTGGGTTGTTGGTGGTGGCGGTGTGGCGGTGGTGGCGCGGTGATCGCGCGAGCTTTGCTCGCTGGCCGCGCGCCGCCCAAGCGCGGGATGGGGCCCGTGGTTCGGTTGGTTGGTTGGCGTTTCACGTGAGACACAGTGATCGCGTTCGAGAAAAACGGGAGAGCGGAGCGGAGAATTCATCGCCTCCACGGCCTTTTTCACTGTGTTAACTCTCACGAGCTGCACCGGCCAGACCAGTCACTGACACTACTGAGTTTCTGGCACGGTCGTTTCGGTCCACACGCGGTCAAGCGCTCGACAGCTAGACCGTCAAATGGGGTTAGTAATTTATGGTGGTTAAGTGGTCACCACGCGAGCGGTTTTGCACGCAACAACGGTGTGGCAATTAAGCTCGTTACGAGTGTTTATTAACGGTGGTGAGTGAGTGCATGTGAAAACAAAGTGGGGCCACGTGCGCAACGAGGGGTGTCCGAGCCACTACGAGCAGCTGCGAGTGGGGCCACCCCGAGACCACCGGGCACGTGCCAGCCTTTCGCACATGGACACGTAGCGCGCTGCTCGCCACGTTACAGCCACGTGCGATGCCACCGTAAACGTTATCTCCTACAGCTCCTGCCTTTGTTCTACTCTCTCCCCCTCTCTCTCTCTCTCAGGACCAGAAAGAAACAGGCAGAAAGAATTCAAAGGAAGCATCATCTAATCACCTAGTTAACAACGGTGTCGTGGCACAGTAATTAACGGCCTAAGCAAGCGTCAGATGCATAAAACCATAATAAGAGATACTACTATATCCAAACAACAAGGTGCTTTTTGGCAGCGTGCAATGATGCTTACACTAAAGGCATCCTACGCGAAAAGAACGACCGGTAGTGTGGATTAGATTAGGGCAGAGCATGAGCATATATGGAGGGATGGACCAGGATCCAAAAGCAGCCATGATTCTTCATGTAGTGGTGGTGCTACCTTTTGTTTTCATTCTTAATATCAATTGTTGTTTCCTTCCTACTACCTTGATCTTAGGTTCTTAGCAGGCCAACATTTGTTCTGACCATGAGTTGATGATCAGTGGTAGAGTCACCACCTAGCTAGATAGTACTATATTCTAGCATAATGCCAATAGCATTGAGGAAGAATTAATGCTGAATTTGATATGTGCCATGAACTATATGTAGCAGAATAATTTGGTAGGAGTAAGTAGAGGTGAAAAATACAGTTCCAGTGACTGTGATCATAGAGACCAAATGTCTAGAGCTGTGATAGTTTCTGAAATTGTGATATGGGATCAGCTAATGTGAGGATTAAACTAAGAAAGAACGAAAGGTCATTGCTCTCTTATTTCCTCCCCACTTGTTGAACTTAACACAAAGATGTGAGAAACTAAAGCAAGAAAGCAGCAAGCACATCTTATCCCATGGTCCCTGGATAGCCCAAAAGTCGTGCATGCCCAACACAAAGGGGGCACACACACTACCTTTCTTTTTTCTCTGCTCACTCACTGAAACATATATATGGGTTGCATGTTTCAGAAGTAGACAAGAGTGATTGGAGGCACACAAATTGGCCTGCATTGCACCAGCTCACATGTATTAGGTCAGGGTTTGTTGTGACAGTTCGTTTATTCTTGTTAATTTGGGAGGTGATTAATTAGGGGCCACATGAAAGGTCACTGTCAGAGAGTTGGGAGGCAGTGACAGGCTACTCCATGTTGCTTGTGGAGGAAAAAGAGCAAGTTTGAGGGCACAGGCCATCTGAGAGGACTGGAGACTACTGCCATCTATCTATCTGAAGATGAAGACGAGATCCAACGGGGTTCTCTGCTTTTTATTATTGTCTCCACCAGTTTGGACAGTACATACACAGATTCAGTATCAATCATAACCTTCTTTCATTTCTCTCTTTATTATAACTCCGGCTAATGTTTTGTACTATATATGAAGCTTTCATATATATGTAATAATAAGAAATTAAATAAAAACAATGAAGATCGAATTAATAGGTAAAATAATAAATGCGGTTATGACAAAGAACAGGTACACCATTTCCGTATTGACATGATCTACTGTGGTTAAGGTTATGTGTTAATGATGCTCACTCTTGAAAGGCTGTATTATTATTGGTTTTGGGGGGCCTAAACGGCTAAACCCCATCCTAATCAAACGAGCTGTACGTGGTACGTGCACTAATCTGGATCCTTTTTGGTAATGATGGATTGATGGGATAGCGATGCTATCCAATATGTATTCCTATGCAGCGGCGTTCGCGAAAAAAAAAATATTCCTATGCAGTGGAACTGATGTGGTTGCCATATCATTTCTTAGAAGACTTTACAGATGCACAACTGGGATTTTTTCTACTATTCTAGCCTTCTCGCAATTGGAACAGAGGAAATTGGGTCCAGTTAATTGGCTAATTGCGTTGTTATAAAATAAAATGAAGTGATTGGAATAAATTGTCAGCAATGTTGAAATCTTAACGGATAAAGGATAAAATAGTTAAGGAAAGGTCAGGCTTCGATATCAAATGAGATTTGCCTGTTTATCAGGAAATTAAGCCAAGCTGTACCTGTCTGAAGTCTAGACAAGCTTTTGGTGGTATGTTCTATCTACCGGTAGAGGAAAATTCAAAGAAATTTAATTAATGTTTGCCCATATGCTGGCTGTACCAGGAATATTCTTATGTACATAATAGAATAATTAATTAGTCCATGGATTTAGAAAATTTCTAGATAGAAGAGAAAATTGTTCACAGAATTTTTCTGCTTATACAAGTCATATACATTTGTTGGAATTAAATTCTGTGCAGTGATGGATGACAGCACTATATATTTAGGTTTCAGGAGATACACATCAATGGGACAGTTTCATGCATGCAATTCTAAGCTACATACTCAACCAACACTAGTCTTTGATGCATTATATGGCAGATTAGTGAATCAATCGCAGGCTACGCCGAGGATGAAGCAACAATGACAAGATAACCCAGCTGATATTGAAACCTTGAAGAGAGGGGGAAACTGAAAATGACAAGGAGAGTTAGCTGATGAGTAGCTCTATAACCCAACTTTGTCCTCATAAACTAGCTAGCACTCAGGACAAGGAAGCTTCACCTAACTGGTTGTGGTGGTATTGAGGCGATTTCCATTCACGTTTCTTCTTCGTCGTCGCCTTCTTCTTCTTTCTGTTGTAGTAGATAGGAGAGCGCCATCGTCTATCTTTCCATGTTTCCTGTCTGTGCTACCTACTCCTTTGACAACGCCTAAACACGCTGCACTGCAGTCAGATACAATCTAGAACGCTGTTAGCAACGGATGAATGTACATTTCGTTGCCGTGACATGACCAATTTGATGAGTCCTGTCCACCAGAGACTAGAAGATATATCAAATTAACCGTGTGTATATCTGCCTCAGTTGGTGTAGAGATCGGAAGTTAATTAGCTATGTTTTGTTTTTGAGAAATTAAATGAAATGTAAGAGTACGTGATCAAGAAAATTATTCACATTTTGATTTAGTTAGAAGAAATTATCGAAAATAATCAGTGCTTAAAAGTATCTTTCACTTGTTACCATGCATAGATGAAAATTTCCAGTTTCCAATAACCACCAAAACATCAGCGCAGGTGAAGTTTCCTTTTGTCTGTTTCGAAGACAGAGTATGAAGAAGAATTTTTACGGCCACCTACTACAGTAGATATATACTATCGTCAGTAACCAACAAGTGACAAGTATTCAGTAGGCAGCAGCAGCACCAGTAGATAATGCTCCAAAATTCCAATCAGCACCGAAGAATCTCCCTGTGAAATCCGGCCAAATTACGCAGGTGACGTCGTCGTGGACAGCTTCGTTGCAGCCGCGCGCGACTGATGGAAGCTGTGAACCTGCACACTGTAGCTGCTGCTGCTGCTGGTGGATGCTCGTGGTCAATCATGTACTCGACCGGATCGGACGCCCACATGCTGCTGCCAATGGATCACGGAGAGGAGGAGGACAACGCCGCATGATGCATGTTACCCCTACTATACTCGTATAGATTATTGTCTCTCCAGCCGCTATACTCGAATTATAATCAATCTAGCACCGTTATACTATTCATTAGCGCGAGCTGTTTGATGATTTTACAGTTAACTGCAGATCAGCAGATCGGATGTCTTGAGAGCCGGAAGTGAAGTCAGCGTGCTGCCACCTGCAAATGATCTGTACAAGTGTATACTTAGAGCCAGTTTAATAGTATAGCCTACTATTAACTTTAATTCATTTATAGCCGATCTAATAGCCAATTCATACAATAGTTGCTTACTATACTATTAATATATTGTCATACCTATTATACACACATTGCGTCTTAGAGTCCGTGTTGTAGGTAGCTACAAATTTATAGCCCGCTGCTTTTCTCTCTCATCTTTTATCTCATGAAAATATATTTATAGCTGGCTAATAGTGCAACTGCTCTTATCTCAGTAGCTCAGATCAGTATCACACAGCTCATTGCCTCACTGGTAGCTCGTGGAGTGAGTGCCGCATTTTTCTTGCGAGTATTACTACCACTTCATTCACATGCCCGTAGATCCGTATATAGCCACGGTACAGTTCAAATTTATCCTATCCAGTAGTAAGTAACTAGTAACTACAAATAAATATACCTGTCACTCACTATAGTAGAGATAGGATTAGATCTAGTCGAATCTCTCCCGTTCTGAGGTTCACCTCATTCTTTATGTGGCTTAAAAGAGTGGTCGGTTTTCGACTCTTCTTGTTTTAGCATGACAAACATGGCTGTCCTCGTCGGCGTTCTTCTTGATGTCTCCTTTCTGTCCTTTGGATGGTGGGTTCACCTTCAAACCCTTCAGTTGTAAGTTGAAAGGACTTGATTGCTTTTTCTATATCTTTTTATGTCTTTCTTCGCATATGCTATGCTCGAAGTGTAATTTGCCCAACCATTGCTTTTATGTAAAACAAGCTGTTCTCTCAGCTTTGCCTCCCTGGTACACAACTCATGTGTTTTGTCCTGAATCAATAAAACACATGAGTGCAAAAAAATACTCACCTGTCAACATACAGCATCTATATGCAAACTCTGACAAACATTATCTTAGCAAAGAATTTCAAAATGTTTAAGAATACGACATGTAATCGTTGCATGTTAAACAGAACCATACAATTTTCGTTCACTAAAATATAATATAGTTTTTAGTTATTTGCTATATTATTTTAGTTAATGTTGACAAGTACTACATTGGAAGTGAGGGAGTATAATAAATACGAAATGAATGACATCAGAGAGTACTGTACTGTACAGGGAGTTTAAATTAGGGCCTGTATTTGTAGCCTGATTATAGACAATAAAGTTGGCGACGTTCCACGTCCATAGGCCCATTTAGGCCCATATTACTCCTGCTGGGACCATCACGGTCCATGGGCTCCGGCTCCCTCTCCTCGCCGCCGCTCTAGCTCCAGAGCAGGAGCCGCTCCCCCTGGCTGGCTGCCTGCCACGTACTCCAGCTCCGGACAAAATCGAATCCGGAGCCGCGAGCTCGCTTCTGCCATTCTGCTTCCCCTTCTCCAACCACCCTGCTCTCTCCTCTCCCCCTTCACAGTTCACACCTGCGACCACGAGGCGGTGGCGGAGGAGACGAGGCGCGCCGGGGAGATCCGAGGCACTCGTTGACCCTGCGCTCCGGCGGCCGATTCGCTGCCGGGGACGCCGTCTTCTCCGTCAACTCCGGCGAACGGCTGCCGCGCTCCGATCTGCACGTCGCCGACGTCGGTGAGTCCACTTCCTCGTCGGCTAATCCTCCTCCAAACCCCCTCTACCGACCCCGTGTTCCGACCGGTCCCGCCCCTCTCCGGCCACCGCACGCCCCGTCGTCGTCGCCGGTGACCATGCGCGGCGCCTCTGGGTCACGTGAGGCCCGCGTGAGGGAGCGGAGCGATCCCGTGCGGGGCGTGATGGTACAGCATCTGGTAGGAATATTCCGAAAAAAAAAAGGAAAAAAATCCTCATCCTCATCCTGTGGCTTGGTAGCCATATTATCGCTTAAACTAGACTAGACACGGGTCCGACTCCGAGGGCAATATCCCCCACCACCCATCTCATCCAGAGACGAGCTCCTCGAATTTGAGGGAGTCCGGGGAGAAACCTACGGGGTGATCTTCTGGTCCGCATCGGGTCCCCTCCCATTGCATGATGCCTTCTGTTCCTTTTCGTTATCTGCCTGGTGATTGTTCGGTGGGTCATCCTGTCCATGTTTGTTTAATTCGATGCTGGTACGAGTACGATGCTAGTGGAGATGGAACCGCGCGCTCGCGTGTAATGTGCAAACACGGTGAAATTGGTCTGCACATTTTGAGAGCGTAGTGTGTGTTGATCGGGTTTTTTATGTGCGAGTTTTAGTGGGATAGGATTCTAGGAGAAAGGAATGAAGAAGTGACTTTATATGGCATCTGCCATTGTTCGCTGATAACATTGATGCCACCTGTTAGTTCCTGATGCCACCTTGTCCACCCGCTTGCTGAAGTCTAAAATTCTTGTGTTTATACACTCTTGCTGATCTTGGCCTCTTGGCCCCTTAGCCCCCAACTAACTACTACTGATGCAACCAAGTTTGTTTCCTGAGCCTCCATGACCAACCTGATAATGCCAGTAATTTAACAGAAAATACGTTGAAGTGTTGTTCATAGTTTCTCTAAGGACAGCTAGTGTTGGGTATAATTTTTTGTTATAGTTAGTTTTTCCTTTATTTCTTGCCATGTTGAGTTTCTATGTATTAATGTCTAATCTTTGGCATTCTATGCAGCTGAGCTTTTGATCTCGCCTTCTCGAGACACATCTGATATCGCTGTTCTTTTTATGAGTTCACAAGACACTCAACATGAAGTTTTTAGAATACACCCCCTTCGACAGGTAATAGTTCTATCCTTTGTTTCTTCTTATTGATGTACTCTTGGTAGCATGCAAATTTTACACAAACTTATTAACTCTACTGTTTGATTCGTTTTGTTTCAGTATAAATCTGTTCCTTGATAATCTTGACCTTGGTGATTGTACGATAAGAGGAAACCTTGAAGCCTTCTCATGTAGGAATATTCCCTGCCAAGTCTCTTATTGAGTATATGACTTTAATGACAATGAAGACCAACCTTCTAATATTGATTTGTAGGCAAGCACACTGGTAATGACCGTCGACTTTCAATAAGTCTAGAACATGAGGTAAATATTTAACATTTTTCCCTCCATGCATTATCACCATTGAGACCGCTTTAGGATAAATTACCATGTCTTATTTAGAAAATTGTATGTCTGTTCATGCAAATCATATGAAAACCGAAGCAAAGTGAATACTATCAAATATGTTTGTGATTATACCGATTTCTTAAAAAAGATTGTCGTGTCCTCAGATTCTTGATTGCCTCAGTAAGTCTTCTGATAGTGATCATTCATCACCAGTGGAGCATTTGTCATGTCGGTCAAGGTAATCACGTTTAGATTACTTATGTTGCGGAATTTCTATTATACAATACTAACTGCCTTTTGTGTTTGCTGCTCATTCCAGTCGGAAAACATTGATCTATCTAGTTCTCACCCTTAGCCACATGTATCCAGATTATGATTTCAGGTAAATTTCTTTCATTTTACAGGAAGGTAGTTTTTGTCTTCTTAACTAGTGTGTTCTAAAACCATCTGGGAGGAAGGATATTGGGTAATGTCATAGTCAGCCTATTTTGGCGATTTGGCAACCCGCTTTTGTCCTTCCTGCCAGCCTAAGGGGGTGTTGTCAAATGGTATGACAGACGGATTGATATCCGTTGCTCTTTGAGCTGAGAGTTCAATTCTCTCCATTACCCTTGCCCTTTGTGTATTTGACTGAGCTGTAACTTTCTTAAAGGTCTTCTTGCTGTTATGTGACACATGCATGACAGGATGACCTTTAGATAACATCCTTTTGTCAACATTTTTTCACTTACCAGTGCTGTTCGGGCACACCTGTTCTTCAAAGAAGAGGAGTGGGAAAGCTTTAAGGAGATGACAGACACCTACTTATCTGAGGCTTCAAAGGTAACAACTTGAACTCTCTTTTTTATGCATCTACTCTTAATCCAAAGATAGGTGTGTTTGTAAACATGCATGCTATCAGAATTTAGAAATAGGTACGGTATGACTGCAAAAGCAAAAATGTATATATTAACACATAGCTAATTTTTTCCATCATGATTGTCCTACTTATTTATTTTCATTTTCACTGGTGTGATTTGCTTAACCTAAAATTGGACTATCTTTCAGCAATGGGCAGCAACAAATGAGGGCACTTCTCTTCTAGACAGTATGACTAATGTCATTGATGAGGTTTGCACTTACATGATGCTTAATTCAGAGAACTTGGATATTCATATATTTTATACTGTCAAACATTACTTTGTAGGTTATCAAAATCGGAGAGTCTGACATCTACAGCTATAATCCAGACCAAGATGGAGATCCATTTCTTGAAAAGGGGGTCATGTAAGTTAAGCTGTGATAACCATGCTTTTAACTTAGCAATCAAATGAATGTTACATGAATATGGTATACTGTTTTCTTTTAGATGGTCGATCAACTTTTTCTTCTACAATCGGAAGCTAAAGCGAGTTGTGAGCTTTCGTTGCAGTTGTATAAGGTAGACACTTGCTATGCAGTTCTGCATTCTTTTGCAGGAAACACGATGCGCGATGTTTTGAATCACTCACAAGTTTCTGTTATATTACAGCAAAATATCAGGAGATGACTTCCTTACCAGTGCACCATCCGATGGTGAAGAGGAAGATGCACTGATAGACATGGACATATAATTGACACCTTTCTGGCAGGAAAATGACCAACCAGTGTGGCATCCAGTTGTGTAGTACCAGTATATATCATGTATGGCAGTTTGGCAGTTGCCAGTAGGAACTACAACCAGAATTTTCTTAGCAGACTTCACCTGTACCGAGGCCTGCATAATATTATGATTTGACAGCAGGAAATTCTGCGTTTCTAGCCTGAGACTTGAATTGGCATTTTACTTGGTGACCTAAGCTAGTGTTTGTTGAGATCGAAATTCTCGTTCTATGCAGTTGAATAATGTATATTTAACAATGTTATGTTATGCTTGTAACTTGATTTGCAAATTTGCTATGCTGTTGTTTGAACGAGGCAGTGCCGACTCCTGAATGAGTTAAGCATTACGCGAGTTTGATATGGAGAATTTGTCTGCCGTTGGCTATCAAGGTTCGCCGCACTCTGTTTGCGACGATTCTGTAAGCTCATTACACGCATGCACAAAATTGATGCCAACGGCAACCAGCAATAATTTTCATCGAGTTCACAAGGGAATTTTACGGCCGAGCTCCACGCCCCCAACTTCCTAAGCTTGTCAGACAAGAATTTACACAACTTCCTAAGCAAAAGCTTCTAATGGCTATAGAAGCTGCGGTGTGGATAAAATCTTTTGAGCCCTGGGCTCTACGAGAGCTAACTTATCTCATGCTCTTGGAGGCTAACTAAACAGAGCTTTTCAGGTTCAAATCAGACAAGTCTTCAATACCAGAGGTAATTCCACTCAAAAAACAGGCTCAACAATGTAAGGCGGGCAAGAGTAAGAAACCATTGCTAAGAAAACAAATGCCCTTGAATGGCTGGGTTGGATCGCATCAGGAGTTAGACAATCACACGATCTGAGTTCAACAATGCCCTACTTGGTTTAAACTCACTTCCGAGCTCTTCCTCGCTTCCCCCTCTTCCCGCCTCGCCCCAAGCTCCCAGTTTTCTGAGCAGGAGACTCGGTTTTCTTCGGGCGGCCTCTGCCCCTTGCAGATGGCTTTGGCTCAGGAGTTGCCTTTTTAGCTCCCCTGCCTCTCCCTCTGTTTGAAGGTTTGCGGCCACGTCTACCCTTACCACCTTTTATTTCACCATTTTCATCGTCGTCGCTATCATCTTCCTCATCATCATCCTCTTCTGATTCGGAAACATCCTTGGTTTTCTTGCGCTTGTTAGATCGTGCATTGGTGCTAGCAGATGCCTTCTTGGCAACCTGGACCTCCACTCTGTCTTCTACTGCAGTGAAGAGTTCCAATCATGCATGAGTCGATGCAAAATAATAAAATGGTAAATGATATGAGAAGCATTTCAGCAGCCTGCATGATTACAATACCAGTCCATTCAAATTTCAGACAATACGCTCACAGCAAAATGTAAAGTAACAGCAGGATATAGAAATGGCATGTAAAGCCAAAAGTTGCTCACATACTTGACTACTTGAGTTACACCAACAATCACACTGGCACTATTAAGCGATTTTCCCTCCACAAGCGGAGCAGCCTCCCCGCACAAGGGCATAACCACATTAGCTCATAGAACTAAGCACATAAAAACTATTGACTGTAAACAAAAGGAACCATGGTGGTAGGGGACTATCCAATTATATACAATTGGAGACAATAATTTATTCTGCACATATCAAACCAAACTAAGGATGATATTCATACAACGTTAAATTTCTTGAAGCTTGCATACATAATTTAACAATGTGATTGTAAAACAAAATAAAGAGGACATGCAAAATACAAACCTTCAGTGGAGGTATCACCGTCATAAATATCCAGCTGAGAAAAAAAAACATTTATTATAAGATAACCAATAATAATCCAAAAACCTAGGGTAACGAGAGAATGCAAGAAATTAGCATACATCTGTACAGTTTGTACTGCGACTACTAAAAGAGATGCTAGATGATAAAACAAAATTATTAGTCTAAGCAATATAAGAGACGAAATAAGATAAGTGAATAAGGTAGCTCATTAAAGAACACCTTGGTAACAGATAAACTATCTTGATCAAAGCTGTGCTTTTAAAAGACTGTAAGGACAAATGTAGCCATTTTTAACATTAGTGTAGCTCCATTTCAAGGGTAGATAGCCTAATGCAAGTCTTTAAACCTAAAAGTTATAGCATAACATCCGTTGGTAAATCTAATGTGCCTTATTCGAGATAGAGACTATGATACCGCATAACACCTAACATAGCTGCTAACTCGAGCAACTCATTTTCTTTGTTGAACATCTCAAGTAAATGTTGCAACATATTGTAATCTCTTGGTAGCATCAAGCAGATGGCCTGTGAATTGGAGCACATTCAGTTACCTGATTAAGCCGGTCACTAGCAATTGATCTGTCTACAACAATCGCAGACAACCCATATCCACAACCAACACTGCAGAATGTGTCAGCAATTTAGTTGATTATACAGGAGCTGCAACTATATAAACATTTTGATTTAGTGTAGTTACCTTATAACATGCATTCCTTCAAGGATGTCAACCTTTTTAGGATTAGCAGATGACCTGCATTACAAGTTCAATGACTGTAAGAGGAATTCTATGGTTTTAACAATTGCTAGCCTAGTATTAAAATGATATTAACAGTATTCAATAGGCGTACTTTTGCCCATTAGGGCCATAGCCAAGCTCTCCATTTTGGGCTGTTCCCCAGCTTATGCAAGAATCATCTGCACCAACAACGTGGTGCATGTTACCAGAAGCCATGCAACGAATGTTCCAACCACTGAACAATAAAATCACCAGTTAAACAGATAACTTTGGATAACATCATTTGAACAGGCAGCTAATCACGATTTATCAACAGAAAGAATAGCCAAGGACGGAACTATTCATCACTATATGGTATCTACAGTTAAGTTTGTCCGCAAGTAACCTTAAATCCAATAATGGCTTTGGATACATCCAGTCGTCGCCTGTATTCTTTAACTTTCCCCACATGTACAACTGTCCTCCACCTAATAAACAAAGCAAATACCCAAAAATTAATAATAATGTGGTGTTCATTCTTATCTTTTTATGCAACACTATCAACATCATTTTGGTTAGCAGAATCCAAGTCTCCAAGGTTCAAGTATGATATTCTTAACAGGACATAAATAATACTACACAACATGAATCTCCATCTAACTAGCAGGAAACACATAGAGTGGGAAAAAAATAAACCTGATGCATGCTCATATCGGCCTATCAGAAGGCCAGAAAAAAATGAGCAGGCTTACGCTATAAGATGCTTAGTGTACATGCTAAAGCATTTAAAAACACTCAACTGGCTCCTCGACTACATAGGATCCCCTTTGCCTATAGCACCTCGCTACTCAATCATCAAAGCAAAGAGGTTGTAACAGCAAATTAGAGCAAAGCCAATAGTATCAACATTTCAGCAGACACAAAACCCTGATGACAATTGTTCACATAATAACACATGGGAGGATCAATAAAACGGCAATAAGTTGATAATAACTTGACAGATTTGTTGGCAGAGATAATGCACAGGAATTCCATAAGACAATAAAATAATGTCTTCCCGATTTTGAAAAAGTTAGCATGCGACATGCTGAATTTCATGTCTCATTTATTAGTCCATGCCATTTAACTGAATACATGAATAACAGTACAATCATCGAATTTCAGAAATACAACCAAAATGCTCTATAATATTATAATTACAAACAAAACAAAATATAAACTTACATCACAAATAGCTTATTTTCCATGTATGATACTCAGCTAATTGCCTAATTTACAGGCCCAAAGTGGTTTTTATTAAGTATTTCTTTATGATTGAGCCAAATAATAACAGAACTACTCTATCGATGTCCAAATATCAGAAAAGGAAACATACCGGCAGTGCATGCAGAACTTGCCGCACCAGCTGATATAATAGCATTGGGTGGCAGAACATTATGCTTCTGGAAGACTTCAACAAGGCGAGGCTGCCACTCATCCTTTTGTTCTCTATGGCCCAACCTATGCAAATAACAAGTGGATGGGGATCAGACCAACGATGCTATCCTGATTATAGTGGGATATTGGGTTATATGACATCAGTGTCTCACCTTCCATATCCACCAAAGCCCCATCTGCCAGGGCCAAAAGAAAAGAGAAACGATATTAGAAACCATAAACAGGGAACTGAAGAAAACATGTATTATTAGATATTGCAGATAGGAAACGGCTTGATAGCTGATACAGGACAGATGGATACTATCATACTAGCAAGTCAAAATAATTTAAAGTTGGTAATTGCATAAAAAATTGATGAATAAATAACATACGTGTAAACATAGCCACTTGAATCAACTGCAACTGCAGCACACAAGTAAATGAACAGTGTGAGATTGGTGTTAATCCTGAAAGGTTAGAATAACCAAAATATATATCTGTAAATATAACAGAAACCTGTATGATTTGTTCCACATGCAGCTTTGACGATAGTTTTCCCAGATAATGAAGCTATTGCCCTGGGACGGGGCTGGGGATCATATGCCAGCTTTACAGATGAGTCTTTAATATTGTACTGCAACAGCACAAATCAATTATCAGTGCATTGATATGAAATAAATGAACAGGTTATCTGTGTTAATAGAGTAGCAAACAACCTCATTGTCGGTTCCATGACCAAGCTGACCGTACTGGGGAAGACCTGCTGTACTGAATAGCACAGAAGAATAAAATACTGCCTCAAAAAAGTTCACGAACAACACTCACTAACAAGAGCACAAGCAGATATAATTAAAAGGGTTGAAAATATATTAGTGTCGTATTATAAGCAAGACATACAGTATAGTAGAGCCCTCCACTGATGACAGCCAGACAGTAAAATCAGCACCACAAACAGCATTAGTTGCTTCAGTAACAAGACAGGGCATTGGTGATGTCTCAATTTCTGCAGCAATTTTTGAACCAAAGGAACAAGAATCAAATAATGTAATAAATAAAGGGGAAATAAGCTGCCCAAAACAAGTAAAATAAGTTTATCAGTTATCACACATTGTGTCGCAGAGCTAGGAAGAATTTACGAAATGTCCAACATTTGTTAGCATATATTATAAGAATATGAAAAACTCCCCGTGAAACACTGCATTGCAGCATCAATGTCTAAACAGACAGATCACACATGGAAGCATTACCAAAAAAGAATCAACCATCCGCGAAGCAGATATATCCAGACTTTTCCAAAGACAGAATGATTTGTCTGCAGGACATGTATTTGGTGTACTACTGATGTCAGTGAGTTAAAAATGAACCAAAGGTACATACCATTCCTTAGGGAGCCTGTACCCAACTGTCCGTGTTTATTGTGACCAAATGAGAATGACTTCCCGTCATCGGTTACAACCACTGTGTGATTTCTTCCAACACTTGCTTTAATGACTTTGTACCTGAAAACATTTAGCACCCATAAATAATTCATCTCAACCAGTGCACCTGGTCAATTCATGAATTTAGCATACCAAGAGCTATTGTTAACAATTGAAGTACAAACAAATAGTTAGTTCCTACTTTGATAGTTCAGAAACAACAGTCGGCAGGTTACGCTGAAGAGTATCCCCATGCCCCAACTGCCCCTTCTGCTAGAAAGTAACAGTGTTAAAAAATATAGTGAAGAAAGGTGGCGTCAAGTAAATTTCGTACCTCATTTCGACCCCATGTATAGCAACGTCCTTCAGCATCCAAGGCAACACAATGGCAAGCCGCTGGATAAATGATGTTATAGAGTTATTACAGGAGTACTGAGGATCACCAGAAGATCGAATTTGCTTGTGGATTACAGGAAATAAATTAGGAAACTTAATCAACCAAGCCTAAATGCTTATGACAGAATGCCCTAAAGTTGAACTCTTACCACTCCTAGAGTTAAACTCCGTCCGATCACCCAAAACCAAAATTAGGAAAACGACAACCTCGTATTAAGTCCGTCTTAAAAGCACACATACTCGCTGGATGGTTGCATCAGCAGTCTATCTAGACCATTAAGTCCACTGCATTGTATGTTTCTCACACGTGTCTGAATCGCTAAAATCCAATCAACCAGCACCCCCGCGTTAGAACTTTCCATATGTACTATCTGTCTCGATGCTATCAATCTAATAGGTCATGACAGCATTTTGCAACATTAAGCAGTAAGCACACGTGTCTAAATCGCTAAAATCCAATCAACCAGCGCCTTCGCGTTAGAATTTTCCATATGTGTTATCTGTCGCAATACGGTCAATTTAATAGGTCAGGAAAACATTTTCCAGCATTAACTTGATAGTACTAAACAGAGTGGCGCCGTTTCGGCATTAGCTCATCCAGCCACTGGAAGAGCCCGCGAACTTTAAACCTGACCAATTCCACCTGACCTGGTTTCACGCATCCAACGAATAAATATAAACTAAACCAGCGGCAGTTCTCATCCCTCCGTGACTTGACTCTAGGAGACCATCTGAAACTGACAGAAGGACGAGGGGACTCACTGCACCCGGAGGCAACGAATCGTATGTCGACGCCCATGAGCGACCGCATCCGCGTCGGCGACACTAGGTTACCCTGCGCCCCGCCCACCACCTTCCGCCCCATGGTCTCGAAGTTGGTCGCGCCGCAGTACAGCAGCTCTCCCCCGGAGCCCGCGGCATCCTTCGCGCCGTCCGCCTTCTCCTCTCCCTCGGCGGCGGCGGGGACCTTCTCGGGCTCGCCGCTGGCCGACATTATCGCCGGTAGTAACGCCGGCGGCGGTGGAGGATTCCGATCCGAAACCCTAGATTTGTTCGGGGGTAGCGGAGAGGAGAAGCAACGAATGGGGGAGATTTGAAATTAGAGATTGCAGATAGAAACTCTTTTTATGTGCGGGTTAGTTATTTATGAGCCAGTGCGGATTCATAGTACGCAGTGGGTTCGGCTAGTGGGTCGACTAATCAAAGCGGACCAGGAGATATTTCCTATCACGTCAAATGTGGCACTGACCAGTGGGACCGGGAAAAGTGGGGCCCATTTGTCAGTGATGATCAGTTCGTGGTCCAAGTGGCACTGGGTTTAGTTAAGGCCGTGGTTTTAACTTCAGCCTTTTCCCGGGCTTCGTTCCTATGGACAGGCCAAGAGGCCCAAGACGACGTCGATGGGTCGTACTTTGCGAGGTGATGAGTTACTGACTTGTGGTCCATCGTCATCGTAGGGTCCACTTGTCGGTAGATTTGAGCATGGAGTAATAAAACTGTAAGTACGAGCAAATGTTGTGGTCATAACTAATTTTTGCTGGCTGGCCAGGCGAGGGCAAGGATGTCAGAAGTCATGGATTGAGGGCAACTCCAGTGTATGTTCGATTACTATATGTGTTAGTTCGTGAATGGCGAATGCAACTTTGGTTTGGTGGCTGCAGTGTGCACATCTATTTATGTGACCCGTTTACAATAAGAAAAGTTGAGAGAAATTGTAAATTATTTGATTTGGCTTGGATGTGTTCAACCCCGTCAGCAACAATTAAGGCCCTATTTAGATCCCCTAGTAAAATTATACACCCTATCACATCGAATGTTTTGACATATGCATAGAATATTAAATATATATGAAAAAATAACTAATTACACAGATTGTGTGTAAATTACGAGACGAGTCTTTTAAACCTAATAGCGCTATGATTTAATAATGTGGTGCTACGGTAAACATTTGCTAGTGATGGATTAATTAGGCTTAATAAATTCGTCTCGCGATTTACAAAAGCGGATTCTGTAATTTGTTTTGTTATTAGACTACGTTAAATACTTTAAACGTGTGTCCGTATATCTGATGGGACACGTCAAAACTATACACCCTTGGATCTAAACACGGCCTAATACTTTAATTGTCTAACATCGACTCAAGTTTGGAGGTCGATTCTGCTATCTCACACAACGATCGACTCTCTCAGCGTGATGTGTTCGATACTTTTGGCTCACGATTCGATTTCTCCACACACTGGAGCTGCTCTAAGAGGATAGATTTCCTTGTGAGGCTAGGTCATGAAGTAATATGGCGAGTGGTTTCGGGCCTTCACCTTGCTAAGCCTCAACCTTAGCTAAGAGAGTGGCTTCATTGAGCATAGATGTCTAGCGGAGGATATAGGAGTATGGAAAGGGAAGGTGGATGTGGAGCGGGATATGAAATTATAGGAGGAAAGTGATAAAGAGGATGTCATTTGAAGAACAAATATTGAGCTGAGCACCACGACGAGCCATGTGTGCGAAGAAGAAAGCTAGCCACATGATGATGGCCTTGACAACTCTAGCAATAAGGAGACCAAATGAGTATAGCTATATCGCAGTGGCTCATGAAGGAATCAAAGGTCAGTAGACACGGGCTGCACATCATCTGCCCTCGTCGGTCGGTCGTGTCATATACTTTACGAACAACCTAACAATCGACTCATTGGGTGGATAACAAAAACTAGCGCTGTCAGCTAGAGGGGTGCGAGGAATGATGATGACTGGAGAGGAGAGGGGGCAAGGACAACTGAACAGCAGATGAATGGTAGTAACTAGAGTGAGGGATTTGGAGGCTTCGACGTCAAGATGATAAAAAAGGCGGAGAAGAGATTGGAGATAGGATGACATCTGGGGCTATATGAAATACCATCTCTCTTAAAACCGCACCACGAGAACGCCTGCATTGTAAATTTATGAAGCGTATAAATTTATTGTATGTGACTATTATATGTATGAGTTTATTTTGTGAGATATTATTTAACAAAAGTAATATTTTAGTTTCGCCTCGCGAAGGGAAAACAAAATAATTTTTATCTATGACAACCCTTTGGTATCAATAAAAATATAAATTTATGAAGTATATTGATGGAGTGTATAAATTTATTGATACGACTATCATATTTATGAGGTTATTTTGTGAGATATTATTTAACAAAAATAATTTTTATCTCGCATAGCAAGGATTATCTTATAAAAATTTCGTCAACTATAACAAAATATGCGGTTTTAATGGTAAAAAAACTACCGTTTTGTTTATCTAAAATAAATTTGCCATAGATAAAAATATTTTGTTTCCCTTCGCAGCGTAAATATTACTTTGTTAAAATTTCTCCAAAATAACTCATAAATATGACAGTCACACACAATAAATTTATACACTCCATCAATATACTTCATAAATTTATATTTTCTTGATACCAAAGGGTAAAATGGACTTTATGATATGAATTTAACGGTCAACTGACAAAAGGGGTATATAAGAGATCCAAATTGAAATTTAGGGGTATGGAAGTGAATGCGCAAATCTCAGGGATATAAAAAGGATTGGATGAACTTTCAGGGGTACACAGGGAATTTTCTCTAAATGTTTCTAGTGATAGCGTTTTCAAAGTAAATTTGGCCATATATTGCTTTAGGAAACAAGTGTGACAAGGAAGCATAAATATGTGCTAATAGGTTCCTTGTGGTGGAATATGTTCACTCGAGTTTAACCTAACATGGATGCTCCCATATGATGTTATTTCAGTGGTAGGCGATATATATGTCAATAACGGAACGTTGTGGTGACTTCATTAATTTTATGATACACCGGTCCAATTTTTTTAGATACACATGAGGATCGAGTGTGTGTATGTATTTATAGAGGTGAGCTCATGTTGTTAGAATCCGCATTTATACGTACTCCATCCGTCCAAAAAAAAAGACAAACCCTAGGTTTTCGTGTCCAGCGTTCGATTGTCCGTCTTATATAAATTTTTTTTATAATTAGTATTTTCATTGTTGTTAGATGATAAAACATGATTAATACTTTATGCGTGACTTGTCTTTTTAATTTTTTAATAATTTTTTTTAAATAAGACGGACGGTCAAACGTTGGACACGGAAACTCAGGGTTTATCTTTTTTTAAGGACGGAGGAAGTATCTCTTAAAGAGATTCAATTCCAAAAAAATTATCCGGTATAAAAGCAGAGATAAACGGAAGAATATACCCACCTATCATTTTTATTATCTTTTCTACTAGGAGAATCATTTTTATTCTCTCGTTGAAATGCGGGGATGGATATAGCTTGCAGCCACGGGCAACCACAAAAAATGTCAAATTTCAACGAAAGCCCGACCCTCCCACTGACCCTGTTACCGCACGTTTGAGTAACCCGACCGCAACGAAACACACGCCCCAATTTTCTTGGTTCGTGATGACTCTCCCATAGGTTGATCCGATCCGTAGGTTCTCGATCCAACGGTCACCGTGACGCGCAGCTCCCTGCAGCCGACCTGGCCACCCACACCTTCGTGGTCGTGGCTTACCAGCACCACCCACCTACCGCTCGTAAAGCAACCGCCCCCCACCTCACCAAACACCGCATCCGGTGCACGAGACGGCGACCGGTCGACCACCCCCGCCTCACCGCGAGTCGTGAGACTGGAGCCGCACTTTTTTTCTTTCCGGCTTGTGGGCCCCACAAATCCTCAAACCCCCATCGTAACGCGTGCCACTGGAGAGCGGGGCCCACCGCCCCACTTTATATAAGCCTTTTGGAATTCGGCCCGGTCCAAAAATTCCGGGACGCGCTGAGGCCTGTGAAAGGAAAGGAAAGGAAAGGAGAGGAGTGGAGGCGAGGCGGCGGCGGCGGCGAGATCCACACATGACACATCTCGAGGCGCGCGGTGGGCATCAATTCTCCTCCACTCCACCGCGTTTTTTTATTATTTATCTATTTTTGCGCGGCCGCCCGCTCGCGCACCTTGTGCTCTCTCTCGCCGCCGCCTCATAATAGCTCGAGTGCACCAGGCACCACCACGGCCATGGGCGCGCTCGAGGCAGGCCCACCTCGCCGCCGCGCATCTCCGCGTGCGAGTGCGAGTGCTACGAGGAGGCGGCGGCAGGATGACTCGTCGAGGGGGACGGGGAGGGGGGGGCGCGCCGCCATGGAGCCGGCGGTGCGCGCGCTGCTGCTGGGGCTCGGCGAGGACGCGCGCCGGGAGGGGCTGCNGGAGGACGCCCAAGCGCGTCGCCAATGGCCGGTTCCGCGACGGCACCCGATGGTACTGGCCCCAGACTCCCGTCGCTGCCGGCCTCCCGGAGTTCGGTGGATCCCGTTGTTTGTGTGCTGCTGTGTGTGCTGGTTTGTTGGAGTCCCATGGCATAATGTTTTTGATCCGTGATTGTGCGAGTCTGCGGGCCGCAGCTGTCTCTCTTGCTTGTCTAGCCACCGAACCCTGGTGAAGCAGAACAAAGCCCGTGGGGCATTTGAACTCGTGTGGTGTTGTTTGGATCTCAGGACGATGGGTCGGGTTGTCTGGGAATTATTCCTGAATGATTGAATTCTATCTCGGTAGCCCATCATAGAAGTGATAACTTGATGTAAATGGTTTTGCCCATCGGTCATAATCATTGCTGTTATGGTGGTGTTAGGCTATTACAGCGCTATTATGCTTGTAGTTTCAGCAATTAACTCCCCTCTCTTTAAAAATTTAGCAACTGGCCACCAAACAGACTTTGATGCAAGCATGAATGACCAAAGTATGCAGCAGGATTGTGCAAAGAGAAGTTGGATTCGGATGGTTACAACGAGGATCCGTTGTATGTAGTTACTAGGAGTCTTATGATTGGATTGCATACTTGCAATAAGCCATTCCACAGTTTCTTATGGTTATGAAAATTGTTTATTTCAGTCTGCAATACTGGGAATTCCTGTAGTAATCACAATGGCTGTCCTTTATTTATTAGTCTACTTTTGCCTTATGGGCTGCAGCAGCAGGATAATGCTGTGCCATGTGCTTGGGTTTGTCTTTTTGGATTATTTAAATTATGTTAATCTATTATTACCTTCCAAAGTTCCTGCTCCGTACAGACTAATTGCAACTTCAACCGGCAGCTCTTCTACTTAGTACTTAAAATGTAATCTATTTTCTTTTAGTTCTCATCCTAGCCACACTTTTTACACAAACTCGCCTGCTCCTTGATTAAATTAGAAATATGTTCTTTGTTTCATTATGAAATGTAACGTTGGATCGTAGTTATGTACTGTTCCGCTGTTTTGACTTTTGATACATTACTACTACGATTTCAAAGAGAAAATTTGGAAATAAAAGTTACTTTAATTATTTCATAGCTGATGCCATGCCAACTTGCCAAGCATTAGTATCCTTTTTTGTGACCAGCTGGCAGTTACCATATTCTTGGAGAGCTTTCTGTATCAATCTGTCTTACGCAACCATTTTTTAATTTAATTGTGTCTACTTGTCCATAAAACAGTGCTTCTCATTTAGTTTGAGTACCAATTCATGGGATTTGGGGGGCATTGGAATTGATTACATTGTTCTTATATTTGTTTTATCAAATGGTTGTACTCTGGAAACTAGCCACAAAAAATGACTGTTTTTTCATCATTGCTTGTTTGATAAATTACTGCTGTCAATGAGAGACCGTAGTCTACATAAAGCTTAGGGGCAACTGAGAAGTGAGAACTAACCACCAAATTTTATTTGTTTCTCGGAGCATTCTTTTGGCCACAATCAACACTTAACAATGATACTCTTACAATATTTCCAAGAAGGGAACCCTTTATTGCTGGTTGGTTTACAGCATAAATTATACCATGAAAAGCCTGTTCTTGTACATTTATTCCATACTCGTATTACTTTAGAACACAATGCCATTTTTACCTGTGATGGTAAAGAGGACTGCTGATGTTCTGTGGTATTACTGGATTACTGGACCATTGTCAGCGTTGGAGCGTTGTTTGAGTATGCTGTTTCTCTTATAATCTCTTTTGAAAGAAAACTGTTATTTTATATTTATTTTAGTGGCTTAACTCACAAGAACAGAACCCTTACAACAGTAGCATGGTAATAGCAACTTTGAATACTCAAACTGGTAGGGCTAGGGAGCTTGTGGTTCTTGTCTTCTCCCAAGTTGTGCATGCATAGATGACAAAATAACAAGTCAACTTTTTTGGCTACTTTGTTGCAGCTGATAATGGTCTTGTAGAACTTAATCAAGTGCTGGAGTTATACAGTATAGCCAATCAGCGAACATTTGCTAACTCTTACCATTGCTTTGGAGTCGAATAAATATAATATTTTTCCGTATCATCTATAGGACCATTTTACACTAGACTGCTAGTTTACCTGAACAGGACAGTTTTGAGCTTGATGTGTGCAACTTGCAGCATCCCAATCCAAGCTACATCATGCTGGGTCTAATCTTGAAAGGTTTGTGTGAAGTCATGGATAGTCAGCACATGCGTTCATGTGCACAATCTGTGGTCATGTTATTCTTATGCAAGGCAAAGAATCCTTTCAGCCCCATCAGCAGGCAGTGGTGCCAATATATTTACTTTGTTGTATCAGCGTCTCTTCTTTGTTGTTACAATGTTTGGGCTGCTAACAATTATTTGTTTGTAAAAAAAAAACTGTAATGCAGTTGCTTTATGAGCTTTATTTGACATATAGTTAAAACTAATATTACAGGTTACATGCAAAAAGTAAGGGACATTGTGCCTGTGGCTCTCTTTCCTGAGGTTGGTGTTGACAAGAGGACTGGTTCTGCTGGAGGAACTGGAGGGCAAGTTGTTGTTCGTGATATTGATCTTTTCTCATACTGTGAGTCATGCTTACTTCCATTCAGCATACAATTCCATGTTGGCTATGTGCCCTCTGGTGGAAGGGTTGTTGGGTTAAGCAAGCTTTCGAGAGTAGCTGATGTCTTCGCCAAGAGGTTGCAGAATCCTCAAAGACTGGCTAGTGAAGTTTGTGGTGCATTGCATGCTAGCATACAACCTGCTGGTGTGGCTGTTGCTCTGCAATGTTGGCACATACCTTTGCCAGAAAACTTGAAATGCAAGACTTTGCAAGGTTGGATTAGCACTTCACATTCATCTCGCTCTGGAGTTTTTGAGGGTGAGAGCAGCTCTTTTTGGAATGACTTCTCAGCCCTTCTTAAGCTTAGGGGCATAGACATGGAGAGGGACAGCCATTCTGCCTCCATAGCTTGGTGCCCTTTAAGGTCTCATGATGTCCCAGTCTGCAATGGGCACTGCAAGAAGGCTACAACCAACGGTGCAATTTCACCCAAATCAGTACCAGCTCCCTCTAATATGGTTTCTGCTGTTAGCTCAATGCTCTTATCCCTTGGAGAGGATCCCTTCAGGAAAGAACTTGTAGGTACTCCTCAGCGTTACGTGCAATGGCTGATGAAGTTCAGAGCATGTAACCTAGATGTGAAGCTGAATGGCTTTACACTCAATAATTTGAGTGTATACCAGAGTCCAGCTGGAGATGCTGCTGACCATCGAGCAATCCATTCTGAGCTGCATTTGCCATTTTGTGCGCAGTGCGAGCACCATCTTCTGCCGTTCTATGGAGTAGTGCATATTGGCTACCTTGACGGCGGAGATGGTGAAGTGATTGATCGATCTCATTTTCAGGCCTTGGTTCATTTTTATGGATGCAAGCTTCAGGTTCAAGAGAGAATGACAAGGCAGATAGCTGAAGCAGTTTATTCTGTTTCGCATTGTGGGGCCATAGTTGTTGTAGAAGCTAACCACATTTGCATGATATCAAGGGGAATAGAGAAAATCAGGAGTAGCACTGCAACGATTGCAGTTCTGGGTCAGTTTTTGACGGACCCTTCTGCCAAGGCACGCTTTCTGCAGAACGTAGTAGATACAACTGGTTTGGCAGTATGAATCACTTAGATCATACAAACTAGAATATCAGCTAAGAATACATGATTCAGAGAAGTACCGCAGCCACTTTAATATGGTTGAAAGTTGGTACCCAGTTCGGTGTGTTACCGGCAAACATTGCCCATTGGTTCGAGACCGGGGCTGGTGCCACGTCTCTCTGGAAGGAAAATGTCCATTTGCTTGGTGAGGGAAAATTTTCGTCACATGGAAGATTATATTGAAGCTGTCACTGGAAGCACCAAAAGGGTTTGGTTTTCTCTGTGTTGTACCATTTTTCATTTGCACGGCACTTGAAATCTATACTGCACTAATTGCAGATGTGCCGAGAAAGATATATACACAGAAGCAATGTTTGTCACATCATTTTTCACTGTAGCAAATTTTGATGAGATCAATGGCTCCAGCTCCTGTGAAATGAATGTGATTGTTCTCTTGAGTGTTGACCCGCCAATGCACTCGCTGTCTTCTTCTCTCTTTTTTTCCTGAGGGCATCATATGCATATTTTTGGCTCGTGGGGTTTGCACCAACTGGCATTTTGCCCTTTTGGTGCTTGTAGATTGCAGATACGCGGGGCTAGCGATTTACTGGTATTTTGACGGGCTGTTGCGACAGGTTGGTGGAGCACGCGACGTCTCCCTCCCCGCCGGGAGAACGCGCGCCACGGCTACCCGCCCGCTCACCACCAATCGTTCAAAGCGGCCGCGCGAACTAAGCAGCGGGACCGGATCTTACATCACTGTTCACTCATCGCGTGCCATGCAGACAAACGAGACGTGGTACTATACTACCTCATTCCTAACCGATCCCAGTCGAACAGTTGTTAGTTCATGGTAGCATGATGTGATCATCCCAGAAGAGTGTGTTTTTCCTCGCGTAGTTGCGGATAATGCTTCTCCTCGAACGTCTGAAGTAAGGAGAAAAGTCGGACAGGCAGCCTCTGACACACGTACACCTATTCAAGACTATATCTCTATCTCCAACCATATAACATACACTTTTAACGATATTTAAAACGAATTTTTTTCTTAAATTACTTAGCTGATCTACAATTCGATCACACCGTTATATTCGTTATAATTAAATCTTTACAACAAGATATCGCTTGATTATATTCCGATACAAAATAATCATATGTTTTAATCCATTAACATTTTTTTTCTTACGTGATAGGGACATGTTTCAATATGTGTCTTCAGCGTGTTTCACAAAATTCACTCACAAAACTAACTGTTACTACTCTCTCCTCTCTCTCTCCACCTCATGCATGCATGCATGCATTTTAACTAGTTTCAAAACGATTTTTCTCTTAAACTAATTATTCAACCTACGATCTGATCACACCGTTGTATTCTTTGTAATTAAATCTTTAAAACAAGATATCGCATGATTATATTTTGATGAAAGAAAAACATATGTTTCGATCCATTAACATTGGTTGTTTTATATGTGATAGTGATATGTTTCAACGTGTATCTTCATCATGTTTCATAAACTTTTTAAATGTTTCAGTTGCTGATATTTTTGTTTCACCATATATAACTTGATGTTTCACTTGTTAGTTAACTGGAACATTTGACTGACCGATTTTTTTTTGCATGCTGCATACACAGGTGGTGTGATGACGTGTAAACAGTCGGGCGTCCGATATTTGGTGGAATATCGGACGTCCGATGCGGAGTCATCTCCCGTAGTTGCCCGTTGCCAATTTTTTTCTACAGTAACTACAACTTCTCTGATATGGACAAAAATCCAAACTATTTAGGTGAGTTTCTGTTTATGGAAGAAGCTGCAGCTGTTAAAAACTCTCCCAAACATATCCAAAGATATTTCCTACGCTCATCTCTAGGATATTTGTAGGTATTGTAGGGCTAGTTTAGCTCCCATAGTCCCATTGAAGCGTACGTGCACACAACCAAAAATGTTTGCTGGAGCAGTGGAGAGCACGGAATGTTAGATAGCACCTACCCTTCACCGTCAAATCGGAACTACCTAAGCTTATCGATCGGGTGATCAGTTATGCTAAAGGCCTGCAGCTAGCTAGAGAACACAAACGCATCGATGAGTAGTAGTTGGAACGTGCCACTGCCCACTGCACGACTTTAGTTCTTCGACCCTGTGTGAGTAGTAGCGAACCCAGCCTCTCTATGTAGCGTGCTCCACCCGTACAGTACGCCCCTCCCTATATACGGATGATCACGCAGTACACGCTCTCCCTATCGTAAAACCCGCGAAAACCACAACCGAAACGCAAGGGTCGATCCATCCACGCCTATCGCGCGCGCGTGCATCGGGTCGATCGATCGAGATGGCGCCGGTGGCCACGACGTTCCTCCCGACGGCGTCGAACGAGGCGACGCTGCGGCCGTCGTTCGTGCGCGACGAGGACGAGCGCCCCAGGGTGGCGTACAACCAGTTCAGCGACGCGGTCCCGGTGATCTCGCTCCAGGGGATCGACGAAGCGGCGCGGGCGGAGATCCGTGCCCGCGTGGCCGGCGCGTGCGAGGAGTGGGGCATCTTCCAGGTGGTGGACCACGGCGTGGACGCGGGGCTCGTCGCCGACATGGCGCGCCTCGCCCGCGACTTCTTCGCGCTGCCGCCGGAGGACAAGCTCCGGTTCGACATGTCCGGCGGCAAGAAGGGCGGATTCATCGTCTCCAGCCACCTCCAGGTACGTCACGTCACGTCACTTCACGTCGTTACGTTCCTAGAGCACTCGAAGTCGACGCACGCGCGGGAACGGCGACATGTCGATCACCATGTCTGCTCTGTTGCTTCGTCAGAGCAGTGATCACCGAAGATATTCCTATGCCAATGTTGACTAGGTTGCAATTCCAATGGTTTGTCGTATTGGCCTCGGCTGCTATATTTTCATAAAGAAAAAGAAAATCGAATGGGAATCCTTACACAATCCTGAATTCTGCCAAAAGGATCTGGTAAAATATTCTTGTGTTATATTTCCCTTCATTAGCCGACGAACAGTTTGGAGAGACGAACTAGTCATGAAGGACGAAGACAACAGGAGTATTTTTTTTTTTAGAAAATAGGAGTAGATTACTGTCTTCAATTCAACAAACAAATTGACAGATCCCATGTTGCACTCTAAACTTCAAATTAATCTCATTTATACTGTTTCTGTACAGTCTTTGTGAATGGACAGACCCGTACGACCAATGAGAGGCCAAGAACCTTAACCTTTCAAACTTCCAATTGTTTACCACCGTTTCTATAGCTGCATAACTTCCTATTCTTTGTGCACCAACGTTTCTGTAGCTATCATCTTCGTTGAAACAATTAAATATATTTCGGTAAATCTAACTCAAGAGCATCTCGATTTAGTCCTAACCAGCGACACGACATTGACCGGAAGAATTTACTTAACTATAGTAATACTAGTCCAACAAGTAAGTAGAGAAATATATTTCTATCACCTATGTTTCAAATAAAATTTTCTCTTAGATTACTCATCGAATTTACGATCCGATTACACTGTTGTGTTCATAACAATTAAATCTTTATAACAATATCTCACATGATTATATTTTTGATAAAAAAATACAATTACTTTTATAATATATCTAAATTACTTTTAGATTTTATTAAATTACCTTTTAGACATATAAAAGTAAATTCAATATATCTTTAAAGTAATATATATATATATATAAAGTAACTTAAAACAAAACGAAAGTAACTTGTCACGACATTAGAAGTAAATCCGTTGTGGGGGGTAAAAACATGAGTCTATCTAAAAATTAAATGTAATTAGCATACATTATGGAATTGATTAAAAATGGTAATAAAACAAACAACTCACAAAAGTATTTTTTTATATATGATAAAAGTAACTTACATATTAATAAAAGTAATTCATAGATATTTTTTAATAAAAAAAATATAATTATGTAAGGTTTTGTTGTAAATATTTAATTGCAACGAATACAATAGTTTAATCGGATTATAGATCGGATAAGTAATTTAAGAGAAAATTTTATAAGAATAAAAAAAGGCATACATTGTTAGGTATAGACGTAAAGGTCTCTCATTAAAACAATACAGTGTACAGTCTCTGTGTAGTCACGTCCAATATATTTGTCAGTTTCAATTTACAGTTTTACACGTTTAGAGTTTACTGTAACGTGCAGGGTGAAGCGGTGAAAGACTGGCGGGAGATCGTGACCTACTTCTCGTACCCGGTGAAGTCCCGCGACTACTCGCGGTGGCCCGACAAGCCGGCGGGGTGGCGCGCAGTGGTGGAGCAGTACAGCGAGCGGCTCATGGGCCTCGCCTGCAAGCTGCTGGGCGTGCTCTCCGAGGCCATGGGCCTCGACACCAACGCGCTGGCCGATGCCTGCGTCGACATGGACCAGAAGGTTGTCGTCAACTTCTACCCCAAGTGCCCCCAGCCCGACCTCACCCTTGGCCTCAAGCGCCACACCGACCCCGGTACCATCACGCTCCTCCTCCAGGACCTCGTCGGCGGCCTCCAGGCCACCCGCGACGCCGGCAAGACGTGGATCACCGTCCAGCCCATCCCCGGCTCCTTCGTCGTCAACCTCGGTGACCATGCTCACGTGAGTACTACGGCCACACTGTATCCTTGGTGATTTTGTTTTAGATCATGCATCTCTTAGGCAATGTGAACTTGCAGTATCTGAGCAATGGGAGGTTCAAGAACGCGGATCACCAGGCGGTGGTGAACTCCGACTGCTGCCGGCTGTCGATCGCGACGTTCCAGAACCCGGCGCCGGACGCGATGGTGTACCCGCTGGCGGTGCGCGACGGGGAGGAGCCCATACTGGAGGAGCCGATCACGTTCGCGGAGATGTACCGGCGCAAGATGGCACGCGACCTCGAGCTCGCCAAGCTCAAGAAGAAGGCCAAGGAGCAGCGGCAGCTGCAGCAGGCGGCGCTGCCGCCGCCGCCGCCGACGCAGGTCGCCGCGGAGTTGGCAGCACAGAAGCCCAAGTCTCTCGACGAGATTCTTGCCTAGATCGCCATGGACGCAGCGCGATCGATGTGTGGAGTACTGTGGACTAGATATAAGTATAACTATGCTGTCTATGCATTTGCAGCACGAATGCTTGAAGACTGAAATAATGTGTATCTTCCGTCGAAAATCGAAGCAGTCGTAATACTACTAATATAGTAGTAAACGAAGTAAGGACTCTTTACATGAGACCTTCTTTACATTTTCAGAGTTGTCTTTTCTCTATATCGGCTAAGTAATAGCTAGGGACAGACCTCCCGCCTCCCTTTGTCAAAGAGAGCAAAAGGGGGAGAACTTTATATGAAACATGACCAAATTCACTTATGAACTGAAAAATATCTCACGCTCATGACCTTTAAATTTTGATAAGGAACAGGGCAAACATATGCAGACGTGATAATTAACTGGCCAATTGCCTACCACTCGGCAAGAAATGCAGGCTAAATGGTCCTCATCATGCGGCCCAATCACTTGGTGCATGCAAGTGGAACAAGTTGGCCCACGAGCACAAGCATAGATCGCTGCCATTGGTAGAGATCCAACCTGGGCCGTCCATCCCAACGCCCGATCCGTTCGTTCGCCGCTCACGAACCCAACCCCATATTCCGTGATCTTTTCGATCTGGGTGACCTGAGCACTATCGGACGGCTGTCATGAACCAACCCCATGTCAGCTTGTCAGGGGCCACAAAATAAAAATTACACTGTCCCGTTCTTGAGGACGCGATCATTGCGACAACTCAAATCACTTCATCCTCCCATGCTTTGCAGTTTAAGTACACACGACAAAAGAAGAGATAAAAAACCAAGCTGATTACTGAAGCCTCTATCAGTCTGTCACCCCACCGTGCACCAGCCAGCAGTAATAAATCAAAAACCGGCAGACGAGCCCCCGGTTTCGAGGTGCACGAGCCAGCCAGGATCCCCGGAAATGTGGGGCGGCTCAGGTGAGGCACGCGACGACGACGCGATCGATCGATCACACGTACGCGCGGTGGGCGCCGTCCCCGTTGCGCTTGTGCAGTGCCCTCCCGCGCAGGCAAACCATCGCATCGCACAGGGCAGCGTACGCGCGCAACGCCCGCAATCTCGCACCCGTACGTCGCGGTCGCTTGCTCGCCATGCACGGCGCGCGTCGATCTCCTCCGGAAAGGCGGCCGCCCCGCGCCCGCTCACGCGCGCGAGCCCGTGACAAGATCGAGCAGGAGTAGTACGCTCCCATGCCGCAGCGCTGTTCCATCCGCGCGCCCGCAGCAAAAAGGCAAAGGCGCCCCGCGCCCGTCCCGACTCTGTGTGCGCGAGCCGAAACCGGGCAAAACTTTCCAATATCCCTTAATTATACATTTTATACGGTGTGCTATGTGTGTGTGTGTGTGTATGTCGTGTGTATCCGTCGTCGATGAACTCCGTTGATCTTAATTTAAATATTGTGGTTTTGCATGCACGCATGGATGTGCAGGCGGCAAGTTGCAAGGCGTGACGAAATAATTCGGCAGCTGATATGCTGTAACGTGGTTCCTGTAGAATATGTCATCGATTTCAGTTTGGAGGCTCCAAATTAATGGGTGATCGTACTGCCACACCTGCAAAACCGTGAGCATAGCATAGCAGCAGACGCCCGGTATTTTGCAATCTGTTGGCTGAACAGTATTGTCGCGCTTGTCATCACGGAGAAGCCAGAATTATTCCGGCCCAGTAGAGATTATGGACGTACAGGTTTCAGTTTCACTGCTGAAGTGCTCATGTGTGCCGGTGATGGCGAGGGCCCAACGGTATGAGATGGTGAATCCTCGTATCGTATCGTCACATGCAGCTAGCCAGCTACGCCGAAAAAAAAAAGAAGCCTCTCTTTATCGGAAAAGAATCAACATAGTACTACTCCACTTCCTAGTGTCAAATCATCGTGCATGGTGACAGATTACCTGTGGTGAGAACTCAATGACCTGTTAAACTCGACACGATGCAAATAAGGCCGATGTTTAGTTACCCAAATTACCAACTTTTCATCACATCACATTACATTAAAAACTTTTCTACCCACATAAATTACTAACTTTTTCCTCTAAACTATCAACTTTTTTCTAACTTCTAACTTTTCCACCATCTAAACACAGCCTAAACCGAGTTACGGCGTACTCTGGATTTAGAACCCGTTCACAAGTGGGCGACCTCACCATCAAAGGCTTATCCTGAATAATCCATACACCAGCCTGTTCTGGGGCCACGTACGTGCCCAGTTGAGATCAGTAGATCACCTCGCAAGGGTGCATGCTCTGCATGACAGATCAGGGTGCACATCCACCGGGCAGACACGCCGCCGGCAGCACGTACGAGCTGCGAGGAAAGCAAAATAAATGTGGTGTACCCCTCGCCCGACGACATAAGAAACGCATGTTTCAACACTGCAGGTCTCACGCGAACGCATCCATGTATGCGTGGTGCAGGCTGCAGCCGTGCAGCTGGTGGGGAATCGAAGCCAACGGGAGGACTACGTCGCAGCCGCCTTCTTTATAAAAAAGAAAAAGAAAACAAGATTTGAAAGGAGATATATCCCTAAATTACGAGAGTGTTAAGATAGTATTGAAACTAAATATTACTTATCACTGCACTATCAAGTACATCTCGATGTAGTCGTCATCTCGCTGGTAGCGAGGAAGATTTTGCAGGGCACGCCGGTGTGAATATTTTACATTTTAATCATTTTTAAAAACTTTGTAAATATATAAAAAAAAACTTATTTTAAAATGGTTCTTTTTCTCAGCATTAGTGACCTTCATGTTCAACGTCTTGGTACCAACAACACTAATGTTAATACCCTCATTTTCTTAAAATACTTATGTCATCGATGTAAAGGGGATCGATGCTAATGATAATGGCAGGATCTATTTGTCAGTCCTGGAATCTAGCACACCGATGATGACTGTGTCTTAATTCTGAGTTCGGCGCACGAGCTGATATGCACGCCAGCTTCGCGAAGGTTCGGCAGAGTCCTCCTGCCGTCCTGCGTGGTGAACGTGCGCGTTTGAGCGGTTGAGCCGGATTTAACGGTGAACAGGCAGTCGGTGCTATACCTGTATAGCTATGTACTCCTAGCTGAATAGCTGCGTCCAGTTTCGGGGAAAGATTGTTGATCAGTTTGGGAACTCTCCGCATGTACCTGCCCATTGAACCAGGGGTAAGCTATTTTTACGTTTGATTCCAACCTCCAGAACTGAGAATACTGGAACAAAAATGATCTATAGTAAAAGATCCAGACTAGTAAGAGAAGACTGTAAGAAGGCTAAATGCTGATATGGATGAGAGAGGAGAGGAAAGAGAGGAGAAACGGGTAATAAGCTTACAGCCGGCTTAGATACATAAAAATAAAGGGCTTGTTTGGTTTGGTGCCAAATTATGCCCTACCAATTCATTGGTAATTTTGAATAGTGCTTCTATATGTTTGGATTGGTGCCAAATTTTACCAACACCATTTATTAGGTAGTACAAAATCTGTCCACCCAAATTTGGTAGTGCCAAAAGTTGCCTAAACTTTGGTACTACCAAGATTTTGGTAGGGCACCAAACCAAACTGGCTCAAAAATTTGTGAGAGAGATAGGTGGACATATATTAATAGTTAAGAGCTAATCACTATGTGAGTTGGTTAAGAGGTAAACTGTAAAGATCTACTAGTATACAGTAAACAACTATTTACTGGCTATATTATTAGCCATGTTCTAACTCGATACGTTGATTATGCTCCAGGAACTGAGACAAACAATATCTTTTGCTTTTGTTTCAGACTTTCAGGTGTGCTAATGACCAGGTTAGCATCCCTGTAACATGTGAAAGTGAAACATGGGATTGTAAGCATTCCCAATCTCGTGTTTTCACTTTACACTCAGCAGTCAGGACTAGAGCAGTACTCGTACGGTGGTAGCACAGCAATCAGCAGCACCCAGACTTCGAGAAACGACACAAACCGCTTACCGATGCCAAAGTATCGCCTCACCTGCGAAACATACACGCACAGTCACACACTGACACACACAAAAGAAAGAAAAACAAAAGGTGACACATGTCGATGCCATTCCTGCAATTTTCGCCCAACTCCAGTGGCCAACACCTAACCAAACTGCTATATATTCCAAGTCCGTCTTGCCCTCCTCCAACCAACAGCTCGCGCGCCAAGCAAAGAGCCAAAGAGAGATCGAAAAGCCACCGCCGAGCAACAAACACAGCTCGCTCGTTCCGCCATTGGCCGCCGCTCAATCGATCGTTCGATCAGCCTCATTCTCGCCGTCAACCATGTGCAAGGTCATCACGATCCAGTCGCTCGTCTGGCTGCGCCGCACGGTGCGGCGGTGGCGCTCCCGCGCCGCGGCGCGCCCGGCCGGCAGCAAGATGGAGCGGGACGGCGACGCGGTTCCGGCGGGTCACGTGGCCGTGCGGGTGGGAGGCGGCGGGGAGGACGCGAGGCGGTTCGTGGTGCGGGTGGCGCACTTGAACCACCCGGCGTTCCGGGAGCTGCTCCGCCAGGCGGAGGAGGAGTACGGCTTCCCGTCCGGCGCCTCCGGCCCCGTCGCGCTCCCCTGCGACGAGGACCACTTCCGCGACGTCCTCCGCCGCGTGTCCTCCGACGAGCGCCACGACCTGGCCTTCTGCCGGCCCGCCGCCACCTGCGGCGTCACGAAGCGCCGCGCCGAGTCGTCTTCGTCGTCGTCGTCGCGGGCGCCGCTGCTTCAAGGGATGGACAGCCTCGTCTGGTGATCCGCGCCAATCCGAAAGCCTCGTACCTAAGCCACCGATAAGCAAAAGCAGCTGCAAACCGTGCACGCGCGTCCATGTCGTCGATCGGCGGCATTGCAGCTGGTCGTTCGGGCGCGCGTGGCGACCGCGGGACAAGAAGGCCGTGCACGACACGTACGCACGCGGGCACATGCAAGAACGCGCGCTGGGGCATGCATGCGACGTCTAAAGGGCGCCCTCCCGTGCTCGGCGTAATGGCGGCGCGCGCAACTGGGGCAGGCGGCCGGCACACAGTACTGTAGCTAGCTAAGCTAGCTAGCATAGCAAGTAGGCTATAGCTATCTGCCATGGGCTGACAGCTACTACAAGATATACTAATCTGATTGAGAGGGTGGTGATGATTTTAGGTATTCTTCTCCCTGTAATTCTACTCGGAAATTAATAAAGAATCGATATATGGCTTATTGTGTAGTGCATGTATGCGTTTTGTCGTCGTTTGTCATGTGCTCGTGATGTTGATGTGGCAAACTTGTCTCAACCCAAAATGGTTTGGATCTTTGGATATGCCATGTATTAGCCTTTAAACTAGTGGCATGCCTTTGTCCTAGCTTCTAGCAGCCGGAAGTCCGGCACCAGTCGATAATACAGGAAAAAATAACAGCAAAACAAGAGCTGCAGTGAACACGATGGACGACGGATGAACAGTTAATGCGGATAGTTTAGCTAGATCAAAGTCAAGGCATATGGACACATATGGTTCAATATCAATGCTAGTGGATACTCACGCGTTGCAACAGGCCATTAGAACTTCTTTTCTTTACCGAGAATTGATTTGATGATTGATGTTTTACATACACTTTGATAAAATGGTTAGTATAGTTTGATGGCTAAAAATGTGAAAGCTGCTTTATAACAATCAATAATGCAGTTAGTATGTTGTAACGATGTAGGAAAAAAAATATCTTCATTCCAAAATATAACAACATATGATCAGATTTAAAGTTTAGAAAAGAGGAAGTAAAAAATACAAGCGGCGGAGCTAGGGGCCGGTAACCATGGGCAATTGCCCGGGCTCCACCGCCGCACACATCATTAAAGCAAGTTTAATAGTATAGCCAACTATTGGCTTCAAATTATCTATAGTCAATTTAATAGCCAGTTCATACGATAGTTACCTATAAATATATATTACACAATTAATATCTAGTCCCACATGTCATACACACATATATGTTGGAGTCCGTGCTGCAGCTGGCTACAAATCTGTAGCTCGTTGTTCTTCTCTCTCCTCTTTTATCTTCTTAAAATGTGTTTATAGCTGGCTTATAGTCTGCTATTGTACCTGCTCTTAGAGTAGTCTTAAATCATGGTGCTTAACCACAACATACAGCAGTATAAGCACACTACTTGGTTGGGACACTTTAATAATTTGTATAAGTATTAGAGAGCATGCTTAGCCACAACATGCAGCAGTATAAGTACGTTTTAATAATCTGTTAATAGATGTTAGACACACAATCATCTAGAGTAACCTGAAGCACCATGAATGTTTACTAGATCGTTGTACCTATTACTTGAGTGCAAGTTATTAGATGTCTACAACCTGAAAGCAAAGTAAATTTTCTAGCGTCCATTATATTTTTTTTCATTTTCAAGATAATAAATTACTAAGTCCCATAGTCTGCAAAAACACAACCATCGTTTTCCTCTAAATTAGAATACGGTAAAAAAAATTGTTGTATGGTGCATAGTCTATGGAGTTATATGAGATTTGTTATATATTTGTTGGCGTTGTTAATAAGGCTTGCCCAGGCTAACAAAAGTTTCTAGATCCGCCACTGCAAAATACATATGTGCATATGCATACCTACACTCCATTCTTAGTCTCTCCGCTCTCATCTTTTGCTATTGCTGTCTAAGGGCAGCCACAATGTGAACATAAGGGTGGGTTTTAAGACTCTAAAGTGAACCTTATATATTGTGAGAGTAGTCTTTATAGGTGGCATTTATTTGAGCTAGCCATATGTATAAAGACCACCCACAAGGAGTAAAAAAAATATATTATTCTTTCCTCTCTCATAATAGTGATACTCTCTCTCCCTCTCTCAATGGCTAATCTTGGGTTTGTGGGGTCCACCTTAATATCCACTCTTTCCATATACATTGTGGACATGATAATATATTTTAGTGTGATCCACCATAATAGCAATGTAGTTCATATACATTGAGCATGCCCTAAGACGTGTAAGCTAGCATAGTAAATAAGTAATCCCTCCTATTCTAAATATTAAATATTTATAAAAAATTGATTAAATTTAAAATTCTGTCCATCAGTTATATAGTACAAAATCTAATAAGTTTATGAATTATGATAATATTTGTGAGATAAATCTACATGTATCATTTCTTTTATTTTGAGACTAAGTATTTAAGAAATTATCGATCGATAGTAAGTTGGTCTTGGAGGAGACGAAATACCGTTTATTTGAGTTGCTTCGTATGTGAGACTAGGGTTCAATTTGTTGGTCCACCACAAAGTGTGTTTCCACCCTCTTGCCAACTTGTATATAAGATCTGAGGTTGATAACGCTGGAGTCACATAATAGCAGAGTTGGTATGACAATTCAATTTGTAGGGACCAGATTAAACTTTAAAGCATGCAATTCGAACCACGTATACGCTTGGATTCGGACGTGGCAGGTTCCTGTCTTTCCGATCCGGATACGGATTAATGGTCTCTCCATCCAGGCATCCATTTCGGCAAATATCAAGCTCGTCCGCAGCAAATAAGCGGATGTGCTGCAGCTGTCCAACTCCCAAACGAACTGCACGCCTGAGAAATAGCAGGGCTACTGCCTCATGAAATTAATCAGCTAATTTCAACAGTTGGTTTAACTGGTTTGATGTAATTTTGGAGTTCTTAGGCCTGTAGTCTCACAACCTTGTTTGTTGTACGTAATCTATATTCAAACTCTTCTTTGTCTTAATGAAGTTGGCCGTCGTTTCGTCGCTGGCCTAGCGGAAAATAAAAACAAAAATCAAGCTAATGCCATCATCTAGGACATGCATCCTGCCACCGTGTCACTGTCAATTCCACACTGGATTGATCAGAGTACTCTGGGAACAGTGTCGCATACGCCCCCTCGTTGCACATTTCAGCTGCACAAAGTTGAGTACATGCATCTTATTATGCTCCTAATTACTAACACCTGTCGATAGGGACTTCTAGTACAATACATTTAACTGATTAAAGCTTGGTCTGATCATCCAGGGTAAGGCAGATCTGGTTCAGCTGAGGATTCATAGGACAAAACCTCGTTCCAGACAAGATTTGAAGTCTGGGCTCTGGACCAACTGATCATTCAGAATGCTGTAGGATTCATGGGACAAAATCTCGTTCCAGACAAGATTTGACAATGCTGAAAACTTCACTGCATGCATGTTTGCGACCTCTGCACCCTGCACCGGATATCACTATACTAACATGTGTCACCTAAATAGAACAACATAACAAAATTATAAACCATAAATTTCTGCACTTGCCATGTCTATATACTACTACTAGCACATGGATCTTTTTGTTTCAAGATAAAACTAATAATTAGCTAATTGACCATCGTATCGTAGCCACGTAGCGAGCTGAATCGTGTGTACCCCAGGGCAATTCCAGGATGGATTTCAGCCAGTTACACTGCACTTTCAGGTTCGTTATCTCTGAAGATTATATCCTTCGCTGCCGCCAAGCATCTGCGCTCGTGCACGACGCCTAAGGCTCAGCGCACGATCACGAAGGCCGTGTACGTGTCAGCTCGCCAAGGCGGTGAACATGCACAACCCCCAGAATCTTTGTGAAATGATGAAGAACCCCCGTGGATTGAGCGACTGTTCCAACCGAAATTGGTTTTTGTCCTTTTGGTTGCGAGATCACATCATCTAGCTACACGCAATATTATCATCTAATAAAATGCAAATGCATTATGCATGAGCTAGATAGGAGCTAGCTGAGTGCTGAGAGGCTGAGACAAGAGAGAGAAAAAAGGTTCTTATTTTTAGAGTGTTCCGGAATAAATTAACTCGTCACTCATAGATGTATGCATACACATGAATGACCAGATGCATGAACCGGGCATTCTGGTGCTTAGTTGTACTAATCGTGACTAACAATTACCAGTGCATTCCTGCATTGAGTCTTGTTGTTCTAGATTAATTACTTCTGCGTGTTCGCTAGTGATTCTTTCATATTGGAAGTCTATGTGCTATCCAGGTGAGCTGAATAAGAATTGAGTTTTGTGTGTAGGCATGTTTTATATATGTAGTATATATAGATTACTTTGAAATTAGCTACGAGTCACAAGAATCTAGTAGTTAAATTGCTATGCAGAGTCAGCCACATGCTCCCATGACACACATGGGGAGCGGCACATGTATCACCATGGTCATGGAGAATCATCATTTGCAAGGCATCCAGTATGCTACTTAACAAATTGCAAGGACGTCAAGTGCGTACTTAGCGTTGGTGGTTGACACGTAGAGCATCTGTGAAGCACAGGACAAAGGTTGATTTGGTGACATATGATTAGCGAATTAGGAAAAGGACGAATAGACTCATTTGGCTTATAAGCCTACATATAAATCTCCTCCTCGCAATGTTCCCTTCACACCCTTTTCTATTGGCGAGATCATAAAAGAGAATCTCTGTTCGGTGAAGCGATTTAGAAAGGGGAAAACGGATGAAAAATATGATTATATTTTGGTACGCTTAATCATTTGGCTAATCATTTATCGTCAAACAAGGTTGATAGTTAAAGACGTCTAATACCATTTTCAAATGTGTACCTGCAGCTAATCATGCTACTCCACACACAATAAGATTCAGTCAGAACTGGGTAGTTTTAACTAAAAGTGCAAAACATGTCAACCGATCATGCAACCAACTATCCTACAGTAGTTTATACTCTGCTAAATATTCAGGCTTCTTTATACTCTCTAAATATTTGTATTCGATCCTTGCACGCAATAATTTTTTTCAGTAAAAATATATTTTTTGTTATTACATAGAAGCTATGCATGTGTACATCGTTGTTTATAACCACGCACACCCAACTCACACAAGCAAAAACATTTCTCGAGAAACAATATGGTGATACTGTAATCGCACCAGCAGTCGACAGTAGACCAAAATTAAAAATTTGTTCACAGAAAAGTAATAGTTCACGTCAAATCGTTTGGATATTGTGGAGGCTAAGCCTTTTATGCGGTACAGCGAGAATGCTGAATGCATCTAGACAAATGACACTCTGTCTAAAGTTAGAAATTTGAACCGTTCTTTCCAATGCATGGGGGCTAGTTAGGCTCGTGTTCGTTACAGAGATGACGGGGGAGATTTGTCTCATTTTCCACGCGCACGTTTTTTAAACTACTAAACGATGTGTTTTTTATAAAAAAAAATTCTATAGTAAAGTTGCTTTAAAAATCATATTAATCTATTTTTGAAATTTAAAATAGTTAATACTTAATTAATCATGAGCTAATGGCTCACCTCGTTTTACGTATCTTCTCAATCT